GTTTTTTAATACAATTGACCCCTGTGACCTTGAATATAATTGAAGGTCATTCATTTGAACAAACTTGGTAGCCCTTCACCCAAGCATGCTACTGGCCAAATATCATCTCCCTGGGCATTTTGGTTATTGAGAAGAAGATGTTTAAAGTTTTTGACATATTTGACCCCTGTGACCTTGAAAATAGGTGAAGGTCATTTATTTGAACAAACTTTGTAGCCCTTCATCCAAGTTTGCTTCTGGCCAAATATTGACACCCTAGGCCTTTCGGTTATTAAGAAGAAGTCGTTTAAAGTAAAATATTGACGCCGGACGACGGACGGACGACGGACGCCGCGCCACGGCATAAGCTCACTTGGCACTTCGTGCCAGGTGAGCTAAAAATCAAGAAAGGAATGAAATGTTCCGGAGATTGGAGTGTATTAAAATGTACATTGTATAAATTAATGTATGTCATGAGCAAGTGACTGCCGTTTTACATTTTACATCTTACAATGAAAATGAAAGTAAAATGTATAAAAATACATATCTTCAAATAACAAAAGGTTCATGGAATAAATTTCGGACAATCTGGATTCTTCGTTTTACAAGTTAGCAAAAAGAGCTAGAATAAGTTACTGAAATCTAATTAGGTGTTTGATATTATTTCAGTCTAGCTTTTTCACTGTACAAAATATAACATTTCAATTGAATACTTTAACAAAGCTGTTAACAAGACAATGTTTATATTTTAGCACTCAATGGTTGTGTAATTCTATTGGATCATAAACTAGCACACCTATAACAGATTACTTTCAAGAACCTTTTTTTTTTAGACAATGAAGCACTTCATAAATTTAAGCTCAACAATAAAGCATTTACGTGAAAGTGCAGAAATAAGACTTTCACTGTTATTAGTAAGTTTACAGTAATCTCAACTTCTCTAGTACCTAATTTCACAGATATTGAATTAAGTACAAATCTGTTACAAATCATAACTCACACCTGAGATATAAATTAAGATTCCAAAGTAAGCAGGACATTTGTAAAATTGTAAGTGTATAATTTTAAGCATTCATATTGTTTAATTGTCAGAAACTAAATGAAAAATAACCAGCATGTTTGTTATAATTACATTTTATGTACAGTATCCTGTTAAAATATACTTCCCATGTGTGAAATATTACATTTCTAAGAGCGATTTCAATGAGGGTAACTAAGATATTTGACCAGAATGAGGCTTTCCCTCGTTCTGCATACTCAAAAATCTAAATTCCTCTGATGGGGATTTCTATTTAGTATTAGTAATTTAATATTTCACACATACTTGCAGTTTTAACTTGTTGCATTCAAGTTGTGCTTCAATCTGTCATTGAAGTCTGACAATATGACAGTGTAAAATACTTATTGTATGCTGGAGCAAAAGCCCATGGCCGACACACATACAGCTGGACAGGACTTATCAGAACCGTCAGATGTACAGGTATCCATTTATAGAGTATAGAACATGAATTAATGTGTACAGGATATTGCAGAAAACTCATTGTGATCTATACACTACAGAAAACCAGGTTGATCAACAACTACAGTATATAATGTATATCGTCAGTTTATTGAAACAAATGGTCAAGATACAGCTAATTATGTACAGATATAGCAATGCGGGTGACATACAGACATGTCCGATCTTTACTTGAACATAGCTTGCTGATTGTATTATTCTAATTGTACAAAAGTACAAAAATAACAGAATATAAAAGTTGTGTCATGGCTAATCATTAATCATCTTCAGTCCCAGGTGAAAATCGCACTTTACACATTATAACTATGTAAATGGAAGTTCCATTTTCACCTGGCATTGAGGCATAATATGCTCATTAATTACACAAATTAAGATAATCCAAAACAATCAACAATTCTTAATCTCATGAACAAGTATGGTAAAAATAAAAACTGGTAATGTATTTAATCAAAGGAAGAAACAAAGAATGGTGGCTTCTTAATTTCATAATACAATATAATACTGTTTTCGCCATAGTTAGCGCCCAGGGCACTTCAAAAATTGGATGGGGGTGGGGGAGGGTTATTAGGATAATAAAATGTGAGTTATGATAGAAAAAGGTTTTGCAACATCAAGATCGATGGGCGAGTCTGGACTGAGGTCTGGGAGGGGGTCTATATAGTTTCAATTCCTTCTGAAAAGTGGGGGCTTCTTATGGGGGGAAAGCGTGTTAATTACAGCAAATACGGTACATACATGCATCTGATATTTGCATAAATATTTCTGTATCATTCTCTGATAAGAATTTGCCTTCAATGTTTAAAATCAATTATACACTAAAATACTGTGGAAATAAACCTGAACAAGAAATTGTTTAAAATACTTTCGTAATGACACAGAAATTAGAAGTAATTATTGGCAGGTGTCTCCTTTTCATTGATCAGACAAGATTATAACAAATTTTACCAATGGGATTTTAGTACTTGGTAGAAAATAATGAAAAAGGAAATATTATGAGTATACTGTGAATACTGACCCAGAAAGTGGGTTCAGATCAGTGGAGATCTATTACAGGAACATGATGTACATGTTCACCGAGTATTCACATAATATTGCAAGGTTATACATGTTGTGCCATATAGGGGCATAGCTATGTAAATCTATGTTAAATCACAACACATCTCAAATCTCATAAACAAGTAAACAACAACACATGATAATTATGCTCGTATTAATATTATACAGTATATGTTCAATACATGTAGAAAGGAAATATTGAGTTCGATGAAAAATAACACTGAAAATGTTTCCTGTTTAGGGTAGGATATTTCTCTGTCACACCTTCAAGGTAGGGGAAGATTCTATTAGTCTACCTACATGAAAACAGTGTGGTATATTGAAGAAATTAAAAAACTTGAGCACGACTATATAGATACATCAAGTTTTAGCATTAAATTATAACTTCTCTTCTCTCAAATTGCAGTTTGTTTGTTTGTGTTTTACGTCCTATTAACAGCTATGGTCATTTCAGGACGTGTCAGATTTTGTTGGTGAAGGAAAACCGGAGTTCCCAGAGAAAAACCACCGACCTACGGCCAGTATCTGGCGACTGCCTCACGTAGGCCTTGAACCCGCGACCCAGTGGTGGAGGGCTAGTGGTAGCAGAATGTCACTCGGCCACTGCTGCCCCTCAGATTGCAGCTTAAGATTGACATATTATTATCGTATATAATAGCACATATGTTGTCTAAGCACTGACACATTGTTGAAATTTCACAACGAAGCGAACATTTTGATTTTTGAGATCTTGTCACCTCAGATCAAATCACAGTATAGTGTAATTTATCGTATTCGTCTCTGGCAATATATCAATAAACATATAAAACATATCACTTATATAAGATTTAAAAGTTGGGAGCTCCAGCGTGCAAACCCCACTACACCAGTGGCTTGCATGTGTAGCTTTAATTCATGTGGACCAATGAGTTTTTCCTTTTTTATATTAAGAGAATTTCATGGATGTATAAAGAATGACACACCTATGAAAGCAAATGCAGCTTAACCCTTTCACCACTGTAGATGGACTCATCCAGATCAGTGCATGGTAGAGTCTACTAAAGTTACATAGGGATGAAAGGGTTAAAAGGACTTAAAAGGTTTTTGCAAAGGGTCGTCACAAAGTTAAACATGAATTTACTTATGTTCATCGCTTTTTCCTAAACAAACATTAATACTACGGTTCAAACTGCCTGGTCAAACTGCTTGCCCGGCAGATGCTGATGAACAAAAAAGGCCAAAATATCCATGGATGTATTCAGTGATCTTGCCTTTCCTCAATAAAATCACTTTTGTCAGGAACCAATATGGTGGTTGAGACATCATGGGTTCTCAAGGAAATTCTAAAATCCACTGAAGAATTTTCTGCAGATGTGACAATCTGATGTTGATCATAAGTAGATACTTTAAGTAATTAGTAAATGAAGTTGCCATATAGGTTTATGATGAAATATTGCATGAATATCCTAGTGGAAATAGGTGCCTACACACATAGATATATTATAAGTTGTAGCGCTGCACCACACGACCACATTGGTCCAATGTTAATTTGATGTGTAATATCGGCCACTCCAGCAGTTTGTTTTCGACAAAATTCAACAAAATTCTATGGCACTTTTGTAAAGTTCCACCTGTAATATGTAAACAGACATTGTTAAATTCAGTTTACGATTAATAAGGAGGTTTAGAGAGGATTGACATTAATTTTGCTAAATAGATCACTATCAAATTTAAATCTGAATTTAAAACTTCATGTGCTCTAACCTGAACAAGACTCTGCATCAGTGACATTTTCACTGATGTAAAACCACAAATCCAACAAGAAACAGATTGTCAGGGGATTACCATCTTTCAAACTCTCTACAGTTTTCCATTTGCACATTGAGCAATCACCCCCAAATATCACTTAAATTAAACCCAGTTAGGTAATATATAAATAATATACAGCATTTGATAAAGCGCCCTATCTAGCTAACATAAGCCACTCTAAAGCGCTTTACAGTACATAGATATACAATTAATACAATTAGCATATACATTTATCAATACAATCTGGAGGAATTTGCAGAAACTGCCTTATCAGGTGCTAACTACTAAGTTTTATGCCACCTGGGTAATTTGAAGCTCTACCGATATTTTGCTCAAGGGAAATTTCTCTCTAGCACAAAGCTAATATGCAACACCTAGATCACATAAATTTATAACTTGAATATAAATTAACCTGCCCAATTATAATATCTGTACATTACGAATTCCTTACTCATAATAACTTGATATGTTTCCCGTACTTTATTTATTTCACAACAATTATGAAATAAGTTATTACAACCTATATTAATGAATCTGTTGGTCCGGATGTTAGCTTGCTTGGGGTCTTAATGTGGGAGGAAACTGGAGTACCCGGAGAAAACCCACCAGATCGGGAAGGTGAACCCATACCTTTTCACGCCCTATCAGGGAATCAAACCAAGGCTGCCTTGGTGAAAGGCGATTGCGATATCCTCTGCACCTCCCATATATACTTATAGTCCCACTGATAATTTGAAATTATACATTTCATTAATACTGTCTCGTTTCACATGTATATAAATATAAGGCCAAAAATAGAAATACATTGTGTTTCTGTGAACCAGTCCATATCTGTATATTTTTTGCCGACCCTACGGTTTGTATTAACATTTTCAGTAAATTCAAATGTCCATTTTAACCTATAGATCGGTGAAAACTAAAATAAAACATTTTTTAATCTACCCTTTCTGTTTATTTTCTGGTACGTTAGGGGAGACAGTATTTTTTTCCCTCAATAATATACCCACCTGTATATCACGTATCCTCTCCATAGGCAACGGCTCGTTTGTGGAGATGTTCGTGGATCAGTTCTCCCTCCGTCGACGTCAGTAGATAGATACCTTCACCCGTGTCACATCGGCTACACAACACAACATCAATAATGTTATTACACCAAATACACAACCACCAAACTGTGATCTTATTACTCAATCATATGTATAGGGGATTGATGAATAGAAAGTAAATTTCCCTAACCCCTCGAATCCCTACCAGAGTGTGAGACACTATTTTAATATTCTACTCTGAGGAAGAGACACTGAATCCTCTACCCTGAGGGTGAGACACTAAATCCCCTACCCTGGGGGTGAGACACTAAATCCCCTACCCTGAGGGTGAGACACTAAATCCCTTACCCTGAGGGTGAGACACTAAATCCCCTACCCTGAGGGTGATACACTAAATCCCTTCCCCTGAGAGTGAGACACTAAATCCTCTACCCTGAGGGTGAGACACTAAATCCTCTACCCTGAGGGTGAGTCATTAAAACCTCTACCCTGAGGGTGAGACACTTAATCCCTTACCCTGAGGGTGAGACACTAAATCCCCTACCCTGAGGGTGAGACACTAAATCCATTACCCTGAGGGTGAGACTTTACCATACATTCATCTGGATGAGTCCACTATGATCTACAGTGGTGAAAGGGTTAAGATTATAAACACATGCAAGGGTAGAATTAGCATATCTCAAATATCTATAGTGATTGAGAACAGGGGATCTCAACCCTCACAGAAACAAAAAATAAGTTGCCAATCACTTTCATAGAGCCTCACATTGGGCAACTTCAAAATTTCCCCTCGGGTCAAAATCCCGCTATCTCCATCCTGAAGGGGGTGAATTCAGATTCTACTATATCTCTCACCGGGAAAAGTGTGAATACGCTTATTGTCTGCAGTAGGAGAATAATACAAGGAATTGTGTATCCTTCATCCGAAGAGGTGGGAAAGAACGGTAGCCATGCATCAATTGGTCATCTTCTGCACAAAACTCATATCATACAAAAAAGGCTGAGTTGGTTAACCTCAGGACTCATTAATGACCGAGAAATTATGTCTTTTGGGACAAAAAAACCCTCCATGTGAAACGTTATATAATTTATGTTCTGGCATCTTTCAAATCATTTATTCCCCTTAGTCCAGGGATGCTCCATACAACATTTTGTGAAATATACTTTCAGCTTTTAAAGCAAATGTTGACAGTTATAATTGAGCCCGCTTGGCCCTTTGGACCATGACAGGAATGTAGTTTCCTAAAGGCTGAAAGATGTTAATCCAGTTGAAGTGTTTATAATCTTTTAATTATACTGTGTAAGTTTACTCACCAGGCTTGATTAAGACTTTCAGGTTCTTGTTGTTGTAGCCATAAAATTATTTATAAACATTTGTTTGTTGTGTAAATTTTACCTGCCAGCCTCGATGAAGAGTCTTTTGTTCTTGCGGTTGTAACCATAGCGACGTATGTGGTTGATTGGCCACACCACAATTTTGGAGGCCTTCCTCTCGTCTTCAAACAGCGTCACATCTGTCGCTGAGATTTCCATCACACACTCGCCCTGGAAGCTGAGCGAGGAACTCGGCATCAGGTATGTGCGGAATATTCCTGTTGGCGGAGAAAAGTCCATGTCTAGAGAATACAGTTTACTGATCCATCGATCAATATTGACAGTAGGTTAAGTGTTTAAAAAAAATAAAAAAATTACCACGATTATAAAACAAGTTATTTCAACTTATATTAATCACTCTTGTTGGCCCGCATGTTAGTGTGCCGGGGATCTTCTTGTGGGAGGAAATTAAGTGTTTTGATTACAGATTTGTATAGAATTGGCTCTATTGATTTTGAATAAAATTTACATTCATGTTACGATCGAAAACAACATGTCATATGATATATCTGCAACCCCTGAAATATTGGTTTATTCCTTAATGGGGCACTATTGTCCAGAACTGAAAGCTTGATGTATAATGCTTTCACCCCTATGTAACTTTAGTAAACTCTACCTTGCATTGATCTGGTTGAATCCATTTTGGTCTACAGTGGTGAAAGGGTTAAAAACAGTTCATTTGTAAATTTCCTTAAAAGTAATAATTTGTAACTCAAGATCTGGTCCAATAGATATATCCTTTTCATTAAAACAGTCTGAGTTGTTCCATGTTCCGAAGTATATAGATATATTGGTCCTGAAAATTAAGTGGATGGGGAGATACTAGGGTGACATCTACATGTTGCTGAAGCGAGGAATAGAGAATCCTGGAATATGTCATAGTAACACTGAAGGCACATGGTGAGCTATTTTAAAAAATAGATAAAAAGGGCCAGGTACTGAGTTAAAAACCTGACCAATCACTTTGCTGACTGCTGTCCTTTGAACATTACACTAACAGAGTGGCAAGACCCAACCTTCAAAGCCAGTCAATTTTACAATTATCCTACCCCAGAATTCTTTTGATGTACTTCAAAGGATCAAAATAATCTACATGTATCGCTCACAAGGTGACACTTACTGAGCCTTCAATTTTGCTTTGACGTATATTCCAGGGGTGTAGAGAGCGTTAGTGGATATATAACCCCTGGAGTACAGAGGGTACATTAACTCAGGTGTCCTCCCCTAAAATTGTACAAACCTTTGTGTTCTGTAGCACATTCTGAGCCTCTTGATATCTAACAGACCTGTTTTTCTCTCTATTTTTTTTCTTTGACTTAAATATTGTGTATTGTTCTTTACCAAACAAGTAAAAGATTATTTGAACTTTGACCTCAATTTGTCACCTATAGGTGGTCGAATGGCGCAGTGGCTAGCGCACTCGCCTTTCACCAACCGGAAAAGAAAAAGTATTGGGTCACCTGCCCGACCATGTAGGTTTTCTCAGGTAGGGTACTCTCAGGTTTTCTCCCACATAAAGACTCCCTGCGCATTTCCATCCCGGCCAACAAGAATGATTACCAGGTAATATATATATTGAAAAAAGTTGTTTCATAATTGTTGTAAAATAAATAAAGATTATAATAAGAAAACAAAATATTTGTGACCTATATTTTGAGAGGGATCTGGTAAACAATATTTTTTTTAGAAAATGTCTGTAAGACATAAATGCCCCCGCTCATGGATGGGACGGGACAGGATGGGACAGGACGGGACGGAACTCCACGGACATTGGCAACACTATATGCCCCCCCCCCCCCCCATTTTATGGCGGGGGCATAATAAATCAAATTATACTAACAGATACTTGTTAATGCCACAGAAAAGGAAATGTTCACAAATGGCTTTATTATCCTAATCATTTTCATTTCTTTGGTTAGATTTGAAACAATATAGAACTAAATTACCTGTCGGCATTGAATCTCTCCGTCTGGCCGATGCATGCAGGTTTTGTAATAGGTGCAACCATGATTTTGCTTCTTCATCTTTTTGAAACATAGAAACAAACAATTAGAGATGGTTTAAAATTTAACAATCAGAAATAAAAGACAGAAACAAACAAGCAAATTCGTGGAATTTCATATCCCCCGCCTGCAGGACATATTGTAGGTTTACATTATTGAGGTTAGGTTTAAACATGCGAGTATCGTGCTATTGAGACATAATGTATAGCTTGAAATTCGAAGAAGAAGAAATCCTTATACAGAAGTAAGACTTTTTATTGAACATGTAGGTATATATAATGACGTTTTTCATGATTCAAGGGGCCATAACTCTGCCAAATAAAGTCCGCTGAAAGAGGTCATCGAACTTGGCCGAGCCCTTAAGGCATTTAACCCTGTTACCAAGTTTGAAGAAAATCAGTTAACATTTGTTGCAGTTATTGGACGGAAGCATGACAGAAAGACAGACAGACGGACACACCCAAATTAATAACAAGAGTACCGCAGGGCGGAACAATATACGCCCGTCGAATGCCATATAGTATTATATACTTTCTTCCATTGAAATAAGATCTGCATCATTCTAAGAGTGGTTAGCTGACATGCTAAAAAAAATGTAGGAGAAAATCTCCGGACAAAAATCAAATACTGAAATAAATAAAGGGCAATAACTTTTGCAATTTTTTTTTAATCAAAATTCTTTTCAAGGAAACACAACAACATATCATGACTATTTAGCCTACTAAGTTTCAAATGAAATCTGTCAAAAAATGTAGGAGGAGATCTCCGGACAAAAAATCAAATACTGAAATGAACAAAGGGCAATAACTATTGGAAAAATTGTTGAATCAAAATTCTTTTAAGGGAGACACAACTTCATATCATGATTATAATTTATGTATACCAAGTTTAAAAGAGATCGGTCGAAAAATGTAGGAGGAGAGTGCCGGACAAACAAAAGTTTACGCCAGACGGATGGACGGACAACTGCATACCATAATACTTCCGTCAAATTTGACTGGCGTATAAAAAGTATAGCTAGCACCACGGAATTAGATTAAGTTATCTAAGTCCGTGCTAGCACATTTGAACTGAGTATACTGAGTATATATACCCAGCACGACGTTGTCATGGCCATCTTAATACCAATAAAAATATCAAGTGTTAGCAAACATAATAAAATCACCTGTTTCACAATTGAACTGTTTGGAGGAGTGGTTATTCATCTGTAGTACTATACCAATGGCCCCGTCTCCCATCCTTACAATGTTGTTGATCTCGCTGAGGCTAGTCACGGACAAAGGTTCATCATGACGAGCCGTCCATTCACTTGCGTACTTGATAAGACGTGTGGAGCCCTTACTTGAGGCCTTAAACAATGCCAGCCAACGCCTCTTCTTAGACTGAAAAAACATTTTACAACAGTATGTATATATCACTTTCACATTGATTTATAGACCCCAAAATCAATACTGTTCCTTCATTTCAAGCTCCAAGCAAGAAAGATGCTCTACCAATTATGCCATCGTCGGAAGCCCCTGTTCGATTGTACTAGCCTTTAATTTTGCAGGTTTTACACAAAGTATCGCACACATGACTTTCTTTACTTTGAAGTACAAAATCTTTGATGCATAGACGTCAGATTCACAGGCAAAGTTTGAACTTTCGACTGAAACTTTTTAGACAGATTTGAAATAGATTACAAACACAACTTAATACCTATAATATATAATATGCAAGAGTTCCTGGTACCTATACTGATGTCACCTCCATCTTACCCCAAACATCTTTGTGCTCTTCATTTCAACATATCCCTGTTTGATCACGGCTGTTGAATTCACTCCTAAATTGGCCGTCTCTTGGTCAGCCATGATGATTGCCCCTTGTCAGCTAATTATGGATCATGTATGTGTGTGTTCTGGTCACTATATATATGATCTGGACCTACAATTATGGGAACAATCGATTTAATTTAACAAACATTTACAAATATTTATAAAAAAAACAATCAACTTTACTGTATTCATGCTTTCTTTCTCAACATCATCATATTATATGAAAGCTACATATCATATTTATCCAGCAATACGCCCATGTCTGGTAATAAGCCCACCCAAATCTTAACTGCAGTTTTGTAGAAATGCAAACAAATGAAATTTCATTGCCCTCCTATATTATAAGCCTACCCCTATTTGGAGGGAGAGACTAAATGTGTTTATTTCCTGGCTGTATTTGAGGATTCAGGTTACATATACCATATTACAATCCCTGAGGCATGTCATAATATAGATATTTATGTATATAAGACCTGCATATCATGTTGAAATTTAATAAGAATATCCTATGAGATTGTTATTGATAGAAGTAGATAATGTATGTATACAATTACATCTTTAAGAAATACACCTGTATTCTGATTGTGTAATATCAATGTGCATTAACAAAAGGTAGATAAAACTGTCCAGGTAAACAAAATCCACGGTCTATCTATAGTGTCAGGTGACAAGCTCTGCCACAGCATGTTGTCTGAAGAGTAGAAATACACATACTTACCACACAATTTATTGATTTAATGCGTAATAAACAAACACCTATAATAAGATGAGTTGAAGTGCATTAACCACTATTTCAAATTTTGTTTAGAACAATTTCTACGACTTCAGTTTTCCTTTAAGAACCTTTTTATTACTATGAACATCGATAATTACAAGAGCATGTATACGTAATCGTCAATGATATCCACATGTTCATTAACGTTTTCACCACTGTAGACCATAATGGACTCATCCAGATGAACGCATGGGAGAGTCTACTAAAGTTGCATAGGGGTGAAAGGTTTAATCATGAGCTTGTTTTGAAAAATTACCTCAAATATATATAACTAATGATAATATGGGAAAAGGCGCAGCACATGCATATTAGGTGACCTATATTAGTGACATGTTTGAGCATACACTCTGTGACAGCTTTCCTGTGCATTGAATGGGTTGATACTAGTGACACATATGTGTACTTTGTCAAACTGACCTAGTAAATACATGTCCCTATGACTTCTTTTGGACATTAACTCATTCACCCCTGAAATTTCATAATGAACTATTCCAACCTTTGAATTGGAAGAGTTCAAATGTGTCTTCAGGGGTGAATGAGTTAATATCAAAAACACATCCATCACTTTGACCGATATAATTAAACTACAGTCAATGGTTCCTTAAAATGGATACTTGATATCAACAGAGAACCACAACAAGTATGTAATCATATACTGGGTAGGTGCATTATTTTTACAGATGTTCAGAGGTCCTGGGTTCGAATCCTGGTCACAGCACCACTGAGATAAAACGAATCGGTGCTAAGCAAGGATTTCAACACAGGACCTGCAAACTATAGATTGATTCTCTCATCCACAGAGTTTAACCAGGGGCCTGTTCGTCTATGCGAAACAATTGGTTTGCCCGTCTTGTAAAATGTAACTTTTTCGGGTATAAATCCTGGCAGACCTGCAAATGTTTATGCAGGCCTTGCAAGGCTTTGTCAAGGCTTGCTGAAAGCAGCATCAAATTACTTAAGATCCGACCTTATTTAATAAACAAACAACTTTGGTCCAACCGGTTCAACCGTTAAAAAGAAAACGGCCCTCTTAACCGCTAATAGCCTTGCCCACAGGGACCTGGAAATTTATTACAGCTATATTTGAACCTGAACAAAGGTGTTCAAAGTAAGTTTACACACATAAGGGGTTAATATCAACTTTTGGTATAAATGCTGACCCCAATAATGATATACCAGGGCATTTTTACCAAAATATTGCTGTAACAAATTCTCAGGTCCCTGTTGCATTGCCCAGTCGCCTTACAAACGTACCTTCTTGCTACCGACAAACTACTACTAGTCAAAACAAATGATCTGAATAATGTATCTCTGAAACAGTACACACATCTATGGTATGCCATTGATAAAATTGTAAATGATATACTTATTCATATACTTCTAAACAACTTGCAGAGCAAATTGTTGAAAGATTTGTTAGCTTTAAAACAGTCAAATAATCTAAATATTTATCATATGATGAGCAATATTGTTTCATTGGTTAAATATGATTAACAGTGTGCATGTTTTGAACAAAAAAATAAATAAATGATGAGATTTTTGTCATTTCTTTCAACGTAAACTAAAGTTATCACAGTTATTACAAGAGATCCCAGAGGGATCTTGGCGCCCACCTTTGTACCATCTTCATTAGTTCTTTGTCAGTTCGATCTTTTCTCTTCTTTCCTCTAATCTGTTTGATCGAGTCATGTTAACAGTAAATGCACCTTGAGGTAACTTTTGATCTAAACTTAATACTGATGTGTATGAAAGCCAACCTTCAAAGTGAGTTTGTCATTTCACATATTTACTAGTACAGTACTTAATGTGAAAGAAATAGAATCGATCATTGCAATATGAGAAAGATCTGTTTAGTTCTTCTTTTAATCCATTTTGTTTTTATGATCAGTCTCAAAATATAACATACACAACGAGGGATCAAGGGGAACCTACATTTAAAATTTGAGAAAGATCCCTCCCGTACTTCCCGAGAAATAGCGATAACAAACTTTCACTATCAAAATCCAAGATGGCTGCCTGTCGGCCATGTTGTTTATCCGATCAGTCTCAAAAGTTGCCCTGCACAGCTAAGGACCAAGGGGAACCTACATATAAAATTTGAGAAAGATCCCTCTGGTACTTCTTGAGAAATAGCGATAACAAACTTTCAATATCAAAATCCAAGATGGCTGCCTGTCGGCCATGTTGTTTATCCGATCAGTCTCAAAAGTTGCCCTGCATAGCTAAGGACCAAGGGGAACCTACATATAAAATTTGAGAAAGATCCCTCTAGTACTTCTTGAGAAATACTGATGTGGGCTAAAAATCTAACCAGGCTTAGAACAAGCGGTATATATATATATATATATGCAGCAAGAATTAACCGAAACACGCATGCTGGCCTACCTGTTAAACCTACAGGGGCCTGATAATTTGTTAAAACATGTAAAATTACTCTGAACACCTTAGCTTAGGTCCAAATATAGCTGTAACAAATTATCAGGTCCCTGTGATGGTTCAAGCTAACTACCAGCTTTCTTTTTACCTGTGTCGCAATACCCCCGGGTCATCGACTAACTGACATTTTAGTGAAATTTGTACTGACACCACGCACTGTCCTAGCTATACAACATATATATATATGTACAGAAAATGCAATCGACGAATACCATCCAAACGCGAGTTTGTAAACAGTTTAGGCCGACGATGACCCGACAGATAAGTAATTAAAGTGTCAAATCAATGCTTACCTGGCACATAACCGAGGCCGATAACGTCTAGTTGCCTATACAGTTAGCAATCTCCTTCCGGTAACATCTCCATGTTTGTGTTATGGTCATAGACAGCACCTTATAGCGAAGGTGTGTACACAGGTATGTCTTAATACAGGTAGCAACTATAGTCCGTTTCAGTTTTTAACTTAGTTTAAACAGTATTTTATTCGATATATGGCAGTGACAAAATAATACAAAATCAACAAAGAGGATTCGAAAACAAGTACAAGTACTTATATTAATTCGTCTCCTTAGTTTTTAACTTCATTGGCGTTGAAGATGAAATAGGACTGTACGCAAGGAGCAGCTATGTCGATTGGCTACCGATCTCTCCAAAGCCATGCCCTAAACGATTCGTATATATCACGGACTTTGATAACTTTAATCTTATTCCGTGTATATATATGATTCATTTAACTTTTTTCAATGAAACTTTACACGAATAATATAGATGCTTTCTTGGAAGTCTTGAATAACTTCCCGTAACGTTGCAGATTAGCATTTATTTTCAGCTTTAATCAGAATTGTAGGTTCCAATTTCTTTAGTATAAGAATTACAGCATCGCATTAAAATATGTTTGTCAGATATTATAGATATCTAGTCCTTATCGGGAAAAAAGTTGTATTTTGTTTCTAACGAGTTGAAAAACGGTCTCAAAATTAAACATTTTACCTTTTGTCGAAGGGACAAGACCGTCGGGTGAAATGTATTTGTCTTAAAACGGCGATTTAATGCTTATTCGATGTCAGATGAAAAAGCTGCATTGCTTATAAACATCTAGTATGCACAACAAAAATTCCCTCTATTTTTTTTATCTCAAAATGATCGCGCATCACGTAATTTTGTCTACTTGTAAATTAGACTAAGACCCTTTGACCGATAGAAGTCTGGTGTCTGGGCCAGAGGAAACTCGGGTTACTTAATCGTCCCACTGCACACCGGGTTGTTCGTATAAACGGTAGCACAGGTGGGCTGTGACAGAGGTACATGAGCCTTTTTTACAGCTACATTTGGACCTAAACTAAGGTGTTCAGAGTCATTATAGATGTTTTAGGGTTTTAAACCGACTCTCGATAAAAAATGAAATCCCCGTACAAAAGCTATGCAAACAATTAATTCACCGTCTGATGACGACGGTCTGAAATAGACTTTTTCGGAGTAACATTTGAGCCAAGGGTCATAATATTGGGCAAGTAGCATACCGGAGTTAAACAAGTTTGTTTAAATGAATGATGACCTTAATCGTCTTTCAAGGTCACAGGGGTCAAATTCGATTAAAATAACTTTTAACAACTTCTTAATATGATAAACCAAGTTAGAATATAGCATGCATGGTGTATATGACGACTCATTCAATGTCACAGAGGTCAAATGTATTAAAACCTTCAAACAGCTTCTGCTAGACGTTTTTAAGGCTTAGAGAAGTATTAAGTGAACAATTATTGGTCTGCAGTTTGCTGGGATGATATCCAGTCACGTTTGTTCAACTAATGACCTTCAGGTTTCAGGCAGGTGAGAAAAAAACTGTGTTATTAGAATTGACTTAAAAAAAAGGTTTCCTTCTGTGTCTGCCAGAAGTACTGTCCAGATGTTGCAAGATTCATGTTAATTTTGACTTTCAGAATAAGTTAAGGACAGGTGACAGGAACTATAGTATGTGGTTTCCCCTACAGGTGTTACAGTGGTGATGGTTTCCCCTACAGGTGTTACAATGGTGATGGTTTCCCCTACAGGTGTCACCATGGAGACAGTTTCCCCTACAGGTGTTACAATGGTAATGGTCTCCCCTACATGTGCTACCATGGTGATGGTTTCCCCTACAGGTGTCACCATGGAGATAGTTTCCCCTACAAGTGTCACCATGGAGATAGTTTCCCCTACAGGTGTTACAATGGTAATAGTTTCCCCTACAGGTGTCACCATGGTGATGGTTTCCCCTACAGGTGTTACAATGGAAATAGTTTCCCCTACAGGTGTCACCATGGAGATAGTTTCCCCTACAAGTGTCACTATGGAGATAGTTTCCCCTACAGGTGTTACAATGGTAATGGTTTCCCCTACATGTGCTACCATGGTGATGGTTTCCCCTTCAGGTGTCACCATGGTGATGGTTTCCCCACAGGTGTCACCATGGTGATGATTTCTGTTCCCCAAAAGGTGTTACAATGGTGATGGTTTCCCCTACAGGTGTTACAATGGTAATAGTTTCCCCTACAAGTGTTACCATGGTGATGGTTTCCCCTACATGTGCTACCATGGTGATGGTTTCTGTTCCCCAACAGGTGTTACAATGGTGATGATTTCCCCTACAGGAAAACCATGGTGATGGTTTCCCCTACAGGTGTCACCATGGTTATGGTTTCACCAACAGGTGTTACAATGGTGATGGTTTCCCCTACAGGTGTTACAATGGTGATGGTTTCCCCTACAGGTGTTACCATGGTGATGGTTTCCCCTAAAGGTGTCACCATGGTGATGGTTTCTATTCCCCAACAGGTGTTACAATGGTGATGATTTCCCCTACAGGAACACCATGGTGATGGTTTCCCCTACAGGTGTCACCATGGTTATGGTTTCACCTACAGGTGTTACAATGGTGATGGTTTGCCCTACATGTGTCACCATGGTGATGGTTTGCCCTACATGTGTTACCATGGTGATGGTTTCCCCTACAGGTGTTACCAAGGTGATGAATTGCCCTACATGTGTTACTATGGTGATGGTTTCTCCTACAGGTGTTACCAAGGTGATGGTTTCCCCTTTAGGTGTCACCATGGTGATGGTTTCCCCTACAGGTGTCACCACGGTGATGGGTTCCCCTACATGTGCTACCATGGTGATGGTTTCTCCTTTAGGTGTCACCATGGTGATAGTTTCCCCTACAGGTGTCACCATGGTGATGGGTTGCCTTACAGGTGTTACCAAGGTGATGGTTTGCCTTACAGGTGTTACCATGGTGATGTTTTACCCTACAGGTGTTACCAAGGGAATGGTTTGTCCTACAGGTGTTACCAAGGTGATGGTTTCCCCTACAGCTGTCACCACGGTGATGGGTTCCCCTACATGTGCTACCATGGTGATGGTTTCCCCTTTAGGTGTCACCATGGTGATGGTTTCCCCTACAGGTGTCACCATGGTGATGGTTTGCCCTACATGTGTCACCATGGTGATGGTTTCCCCACAGGTGTCACCATGGTGATGGTTTCCCCACAGGTGTCACCATGGTGATGATTTCTGTTCCCCAACAGGTGTTACAATGGTGATGGTTTCCCCTACAGGTATTACCATGGTGATGGTTTCCCCTACAAGTGTTACCAAGGTGATGGTTTCCCATACATGTGCTACCATGGTGATGGTTTCCCCTTTAGGTGTGCCTGCAGGAATGAAAGCCTCTGCATATGACAAACCAACAATTCCTTTCTACAAGTGAACACTGGTATGACAATGTTTCAGCATGTCAAATATTTATTTTCAAAAATTGAAGAGTGTTTCAGTTAATACCCTTCAAAATGGCCAATTTTCAACCAAATAGCACACAGCAGACGATATTCATACATTTTATTGTGAAAATGCGGGTTTATGTCTCTCTTTGTAATGCCATATTTCCTAAACCAGTTGCCGAATGAATTTGAAATTTTATATTCACCTATTTCAGTTATTCCTGATCAAGAATATAACAAGAAATTGGTGATCTCTGATGAGGCCTGAAATGACCCTTAACACCCCTAGTCCTTTATGGTGCTGGGAGAGAACTGATGTTGGTGATAGATTGCTCCAGGAGACTTATATGATGAGCCATTCTCTTGAGGCAGTGGAACATTTCACTGATAAGTCAATGCATTTGAGAGCATGAAATTATTTGACCAGAAAATACCAAACATACAAAGCGATAAGTCATTTCACCGAAAATTCCATACATATTAATAGCCTGTCAATTCACTCTGAAGTTCATACAAGACATTTCACTTGATAGATATATGGACAAGGCAATGAGGCATTTCACTGAATTCCTATATTGGAGGCAAGCATACAAGGTAAAGAGTCATTTCACTGGAAAGTCCATACTACCTGGTAAGTAAATGAGAGGCAACATTTCACTGGAAGAGAACTGCAAATCAGTAAATTTTTGAGGATATATATTTTCGCATTGTTCTTCCAACAACATATTTGTGTTTTTTTTTTAAATTCACTGAAAGAACAATGACCAAAAACATGATCCATGTTCATAATTGAATCAATAATCTTCCCTCGCAATTGAAGCAAAAATCAATACATGTATCTCGTTACTGTTGAGTACAGGGGCCTGTTTGTTTATGCAGAACAAAAGGTTTGTCAGTTTTTAAATGCAATAATTTCGGGTATAAATCCAGACGTACCTGCCAATGTTTATGCAGGCCTTGCAAGGCTTTGTCAAGACTCGCCTGAAAGCAAGTTCAGATTACTAGTTCCGACCTTATTTAATTAACAAACAACTGTGGTCCGACTGGTTCAACTGTTTAAATGAAAACGGCCCAGGTAATTTACTGTAATATATACATATATGTCAGGATTGCCTAGTCATGACTTGAGCACTTCACAGATGTTTTGACATACAATTTCATGCTGTCTTTGTAGTTTGCAGACAGAAACACCACACAATACTTATGTTTGTACATTTTAATGATAATCCTTTTTGGTTGTCAGATCCAGGCTAAGGAGAGCAACAATATGATCAAGTAAACATATACTTATATCAGTGTAAAATGCCATTAAAACCCAGGTGTAACTTGTAGTGTAAACACAGAAAGTGTAGTGTAAACCCTGTTATTTACACTTATTCTGCTGCTTGTAACACACCTCACAGGTGTAACTTGTAGTGTAAATCCTGTTACACTAACCCTGCCACACCCTTTACATGTGTAACTTGTAGTGTAAATTCTGTTACACTAACCCTGCTACACCTCACATGTGTACAACTTGTAGTGTAAATTCTGTTACACTAACCTTAGCTTGCTACAAACCTCACACGTGTTATTTGAATATAATCATTTTAACGTATTTTAATTTCTTACTTTTTTTCCCAAGACAATATTTGTGAGTTTTTAATTCCACACACAACACTGTTAACATTTACCAAAATAACTAGCTCTATATCAGAAGGGAAACACATTTTACATTATTTCATGAGATGAGTACAGCAGAAATAAAACCTTCCCCTAATACATAATCACTATACAGTTAGCCAGCAGACATATGTGTAACATTACTGACATGGTTAAGTATAATATTACTACACACAGGTATAATTACTGTGCCTGATTTGTGCCATTTTTTTTTCTTTTTTTTTTCAACCTAAAAAGTAAATGTTATAACTGTTAATTCTCGTTTCCATCTTTTCTTTTCAAGGCGAAAGGACAAAAGGACAATTTTTTAGGTTTTCCTTATTTTTGTCTTTTCACCCTGTTAAGAGGAAAAGAACAAAAATATACAAATCAGACACTGTATATAACATTGACTCGAAACATGTGCCATGTTATACCAGTATTATGTAATATTGATGTTTTATGTTAATATTGACACTTTTTATTTGACAAGTTATGGTGACACTTTCTATTTGACAAGTAATATTGACACGTGTGTGTAATATTGAAAATCCATGTGTTACTTGACAGGGGTCATGGTAATTATAAGTGTTCTGTAAACATAGTGTAAAAGATAAAATATTTTAGATATATTCTGCTACATATATCATCGTAATTGTCACGTACAGTAAACAATTCTGCGACATATATCATCGTAATTGTAACAGTAAACACAGAGTAAAATTTGCCAAGTAGAACATAAGTATTTAGTACATAACATTATATACATACGAAATCAGCCATAAAACATGTATAATCATAAAACAAGATCAGATATATATATTATATCTGGGTTCATACAAAACAAACTTAGGCATTGCCATTCCCTGGGATAAACAAAAAATAAAAACACATTGATGCTGTGAGAAAGGTATTCTTGTACAGCTATATTATTCACAAAGGATGAAAACAACACTAACTTATAGGTACTGAATTCCATCTTGTTTACATTAATACTAATGCTATTTTACACCAGATAACTTCTAGTGGACCTCATACAAAAGACTTTTAAATTAAGGATTTCCTAAAAAAAAGAAAACAATCATAAATCAAGGTTTTGTGTAAAATACAAATATAATGCTTTATAAGCAGCAAGACAGCATCAAGCAAAATTGAGATTGAGACAAAAGATATTGACCTGATTTCATTGACAAATTTGCTTTCATACCATAAATTACTCAGGTATGCAATATTCATACCACTTTTTATAAAAAGAATCGTGAATTTTTATGCACTCTTCAATGCGACATGATTATAATCATTTATATTCTTCTCTATAATATGAATATGTTACCATATTTTCCCTCATAATATAAAAAATAGTCAAGAGCGTGAAAACTCAGCGAATACAATTTTTGATTACTCATGAAATATTTCATCAATGTTTTTATGCACTCGTTAAGTTTTGTTTTTATTCCAAATTGGTAAATTGTATAGAAAAACTTTTTTATTTCTTCTATTACAAATATATATATATATATATATATATATTAAAATTTGGTTTGAACTAACTAAAGGAAAATAATTCAACAATTCTTAAACATCTGATTTATTAATTAATTGTTTTCTGACTGACATTTCTATATTTTTTTGAATATATTTCATTAAACATTTTTCTGAAAATTGCATGGAGTTACCTCCCTTGCATCGCTTATTCTGTTGGATTTTTTTAATTGAACAACATATTTGGGTATCTTATTTTTCTATAAATATCTCATTTAGGGATTGGTTCAAGTAAATTCAAGTACATGGAGCACTTTTTGATAGGTAGCACATTAAAGACATGCACACTTTAACATGAATTATTATTATTATTGTGAATATTCATTTTTCATATAAATCAGAATTCAAATAATTTCATTACTTGAATTTGTAAAAGGAAAAGCAAGAAGTGTATATTTCTTAAGTGAATAACGAGCATGAACCTATTTGAATACGAATTATTTCTTAATTAGCATTGATTGTAAATTTAAATACCATTTAAACAGTGACACACATATGGAGTAAAGAAGTGAACTTACATTCTTAAAAAAAAAACCACCCCAGAAATGTCAGTTTGTGGAATTGAGTATGCATGAAACATAATTATATAAACAACCTACAGTGTCTCACATAAATAAACAGTTGACAAAAGATATGTTTTTTTTTACATTACAGGGAGAATAGTTTTACATTTTACCACATATTACAGAAGGACTATTTAATAGCTTGTAACAGTAAAGCACTAGGGTGTAAAAAATAAACACAATTTACAACCAATGAAAATATGAAAACAGAAATAATTGATTTTCCATTTTTTTTTTGGTATGCTGACCAGCAGCTTAATTTTATTTCCAGACACAGTGAACAGGGCGCTGTGTATCAAAAGCTTTATAATAACATCTTAACAACACATTTATGTAGATCTTAAAACAGTCAAAGTAGCATGATTATATAAACTGAAAAAGGTATGTAATTCCACCAATTTAAAATATTTTTTCTTCGAAAATTTGCCATTTTATCCGAAAATTGTTGTTTCAATTATATCAATCTATCATATGCATGTGTTTTTGTTTTTTTATTTATTTTCGCAGCCAAATCGCGTAATTATTATCTTGCATCTACTAGCTGGGGTTGAGATGTAAAATCAGTTTGATATGCTTGGGATCTATCCCGATTTATAAGCTTGCAACTTGTAGTGTGTTCCTGAAGCAGATAACCGTCAATATCACATCAATTATCAGTGTCACTTAAATGTGTGTACAACATGAACAAATAATATGTTATCTACAGCAACACAGACAAATGTTAACTTTTCAGGTTTTGTTCAGTTCAGTTTCCTCCATTATAAAAACCCCCAGAGTACTAACATCCAGGCCAGCAAGATTGATTAATATAAGTTGAAATTACCTGTTTCATTATTGTTTTAAAACAAATAAAGTTAACATTTTATAATGAAAGAAAAAAAGAATAAATAACAGGAGGCCCATGGGCCTTAACGGTCACCTGCCATCCGATTCAAATAAGGACTGTCATCCAGGGGTCAATTCATACTTTTCGTCGGTCCGAGTGACCTTGCTGCATTGTCCATTAATTTTTCCTTGTGAACACAATAACTTCAGTAAATATGAACCGATTTTGATGAAACTTTGTATGCAACTTTGTATCAATGAGATCTTGGATGAGTTTGAATACCGGACCAATTTGACCATAACTTACATAGTTATTCATCAATCTTTGTTAATATTTACTCAAGTTATCGTCTTTACAGGGACAAATAATAATATAATGATAAAGGGCAATAACTCTGCAGGTTACCATCGAATAATTACCGTTGTCAACTTGTTTGAGATCTTTTAGATGTAACACTGCGGACAAAGTTTCATTGAACTCCATCGTCATTTACTCATGTTCTCGTGTTCACAAGGTCCAATAATAATATTATTACAAAGGGCAATAACTCTGTAAGTTACAGTGCAATAATTCCCATTTTCGAACTCGTCCGGGATCTTATTGATATATGGCTGCATACAAAGTTTCATTAAACTCAGTTAACATTTACTCAAGTTATCGTGCTACAAGGTCCAATAATAATAATATTACAAAGGGCAATAACTCTGTAAGTTACTGTCCAATTATTACCATTTTTCGAACTCGTCCGAGATCTTATTAATATATGGCTGCCTACAAAGTTTCATCAAACTCGGTTTACATTTACTCGTCCAATTATTACCATTTTCGAACTCGTCCGAGGTCTTATTAATATATGGCTGCCTACAAAGTTTCATCAAACTCGGTTAACATTTACTCAAGTAATCGTGTTCACAATGTCCAATAATAATAATATTACAAAGGGCAATAACTCTGTAAGTTACGATCCAATAATTCCCATTTTCGAACTCGTCCGGGATCTTATTGATATATGGCTGCACACAAAGTTTCATCAAACTCGGTTAACATTTACTGAAGTTATCGTGTTCACAAGGAAAACTTAACGCACGACGGACGACGACGGACAAAAGGCTATCACAATAAGTCACCATGACCTATGGTCAGGTAATCTAAAAATGCTTTCAATGTGATGGCCTGACTTCAGAACATGGTGTAAGGCTTCTCATGAGCTGCAATGATTCTCCTGGAACAGTATGTTACAATGCAGTGCTTTATAAATGTGCAACAAATTTCAGAAATATCATTGGAGTTACCTTCCAATTTTAAAATGACACAGCGATTTCTCTGTATAAAAACGTGCAAATCTAGCTACAACCCATTATGTTGACCGTAAGATTACTCGATTACTCAGCAGGTGAAACGTTGCCGAGAACTGGCCTAGTCTACCGTTTTTTTAAGTCTATGTCAACTCTGTGTGCAATTACCGGTATATATTTTTCATGTATGAATAATATACACACCTTACATTTTCAGTTTGATATGACCTAATTTGAATTTGAATTAGCTAACATGAAATATGTTAAAACACTAACATGAACAAATATTATTCAGGATCCATAATTTCAACTGTTTACAAGATTTTAGCAGCTTCTCGCTGCCATCACAAGAGGACTGCAGGATGTTTGAATTAAAATCGTATTTAAATGCATGTTTTTTAATGAAGAATTTACAAATTCATGTAAACTCATGTAAATTAACATTAAGTATATTGCAAGTGATTTAATATTTATAAATTGATGCTTTTATTCTTATATGTAATGTATTACACTTAAAAGTGAATTCCGTACTATGAAGATGATAAATAATTTGAATACACCTGTACATTGTTTCTCGTCTATATATAACATAAAAGTGTATTGATATTTATTACCCATTCAATCTTCAGGGGGTTTCATACAAGATTTACAAAACAAACAAAAAAGTTTCCATTTAAGCCTGGGTCTGGACTCTGCCGAGTTCAAAAGAAAACTTTTGAAAGAGTTCTGTAAATATCATATTTGAACAAATTAAAGATCAATTTTATAACATTATCAAGAATTCAAGAAAAACTATGAGATTTAAATGACTATATATGTGAGAGACCTGTGCTGCCTGAAAGCTATACCATTCAATAATACAACAGATCAGTGTTTTCATATAAGCTACGGGCCTTTTTGGTAATGTGTTTGAAATGGATTAATTTAATTTATGTCCTGATTTAAACTCTGAAACATTGTTTTGAAGATATTTCAGAATAATTGGCAAGAAAATATCGGTTCACAGGGACTTTTGACAAAACAACAAGTCCCTTATAAATGTATCAATGATCTAATTAATAATTGATGAGTCTGATGTGAACGTGTACATTCCTATTTAACTCATTCACCCCTGAAGTTTCATAATGAACTATTCCAACCTTTGAGTTGGAAGAGTCCAAATGTGTCTTCAGGGGTGAATGAGTTAAATGTACTTCGTATAATAGCAGGACACATATTATGTAAGGCATGAAAGATTGTCCAAAATGAGTATTGACAAAAATGATATTTCCTGTTGTTTACAGAAACATAGGGCTGTATATGTGATCTGAACATGGAATGTGTGCTGGACCATTCACATCAAATACACAATGTGTTATATACTATATACAGTGAAAATTGCTCTCAAAATCACCTCTAGTAAGAAACAACCTGAGCTTAAAACCATACAAATAATTCTTTAAAAGTCCCAATGGATTTTTTGTATATAAATGAACCTGCATTATGAAATCACTTGTGGGAGGGGTACAAGGGGGCCTGGTCTTATGCCCTCCGTTACACACAATCTGTTCTTAGGGGCAGGCAGTCTAGTTGTTCACAATTACATAGACTCATTCATCTTTAACTCATTCACCCCTGAAATTTCATAATGAACTATTCCAACCTTTGACTTAGAAGAGTTCAAATGTGTCTTCAGGGGTAAATGAGTTAACCGATTATAAATACCTGCCACATCCTTCCCATATTCATAGTTAGAGACAGTCTGTTACACTACATTTGTGTACAATATAAATAATTAGAATTTTCAAAAAAGATTCTTTATGTACTGAACAAGTCTTTGTATATAGCGAAAAACCTGATGCTTTTTTCTTTGAATAGTATGATAAATTACAATATAAAATTCCAAAAAGAGTCGGGAAAATAACTTTCGGATGAAAAACAATGCTAAACATTGTATACTGATGGTTTGTATATTTTGACTTTACCAGAGTGAGATATTGCACAAGTTTTATACCCCAGACTAAACATTATCGTATCAGGTTTTTTTGCCTCATACTTGTCACCTGTTAAACTTCTACCAGCTGGTAATTAATTACACCAAATGTAACCAAGAATATTCTGCATCAGCAGCAGAAAGTGATGACAACCAAAAATAATATAACTGAAGTGTTACATCAAAATATTGTTATTTACATGTCTTGTACATTAGGTATATATCACACCTTTAAAATCACTTTTTATATTCAATGAAATAATCTTTACCAAAGTTAAACTAAAATAATGCTGTAATATACTAAATATTATAAAACTAAAACTAACCAATGCTAAAAGACATTTTTTGTTTGATATTTGGAGGAAATGCTATTTTCAAATGCTCGGAAATAATTCTGTAGATTTTAATGTAATAATACAATATTATGCTTTAATTTAGAATTTGGTAATAAATTGCTATGTGTAATACAGCGAAACCGATTTAATGTGATTCCTGAATATTATGAGACCCTGTCTAATATGACAACTGATTATTTTGACATCTTGTATAGTCCAACATGATGCTGTAATCTTATTTCCTATGCGATCTATCAATGAAGACCTGTGTTTTCTGACATCCTGTGTTATCTGACAAATATGTTGTCAAAGCCCAAAGAGTGTCAGATTAGACAGTTTTCATGGAACTTAAGGGATCAAATAAACTTATATCTAATATACCTACCATTAAAATGTTTATAGTTAAATGAATACGTGCCTTTATATATATTAGTTTGAGACATTTACAAAATACCCCAAAATTAGAGACATTATGACATATGTACATTACAGACAAATATCAGCAGAATAAGATTTGACAAAGAATTGATATTGAAAAAAAATAAAAAAATTGTTAAGAGTTATCTACATTGTCTTAAGTCTGTTTTAGGTACATCTTAAAATAAGATCAGTGATCACTCTACTTTAGCTTTTATCAATAAAGAAAGTTGGCAATGACATTGTTTTTAAACTACCCCTCTGTAAATAAAAGTTGATAATTAAATGTATATTGCAGGTGTGAGCATGCTGTGAGGATCTTCCAGGTTTTCCCAACATGTTTAGGGTCAGCTGACACGTTGTTAAGGCTCATCACCGAGGTCGTCCTCAGGGTCAAGGTCACTGTCGTCCTCCTGGTCATTGGGATCAAATGAGCGTAGACTGGCTGCCCGCTGTGACAAAGCCGACTGACTGGATCGCTTTAGTCTACAACACATACCAACAGATTAACGTGGAACAAAACACAAAACAGCGGATTCTAATTTGGACTATACCTCTAACACCAAACGATGAAATATTTGTTACATTCGCAGTGTTTCTGATACATTTTTATATTAATTATCATAAACTACAAAGCCTTATGATACCAAGTTACATCTACCAGGTAAATAAGAACTTAAATCCTACACAATGAAGCATGTTCATCCTATAAAACAACCAGATTTAATTTGTAGCACTCTTTGTCATTATTTACCATAATATTTTGTGAATCAAGCAACCTATGTCATAAAATTTGTATCTAATTTAACCTTTCAGTATTCTGACCGACGTCCTGAATATGATAAAGAAATGATATAACATACTTCCACATTATATTAACATATTTATCCTGCACTAAGACCAGGGTGCCCACATAAACCACAAAGCAGAGGTACAATGTAGTCTTATTGCAGGACAATGGAATATCATTAGCTAGCTTTCTACTGAAATGTATTTGACATAGGGGTGGACATGGCTTTTTGTCAGATAAATAGTGTATGAAGTTACAAATAATTGTTTAATATTTTCATATGAAACTCTTAAATGAGTCTCTATTTTATTTTCATGTTGTCAACAAGCCTCTGGTGAGGTAAAGTGAAAAGTTTTATAAATCTCAATTGAAATGAAAACATTTGATAGATCCTCTATATTACAGTGTTATTTTGCACAACTCTGCTTCAGGGCTTTTTTCTAGGGACTTTCTGGACCAAAAATCGACCCAATTCCTAACTGATTTTTTTTTCATATTTATGCCTAATTCACAAAAACTCTGCTGCTTCTGAACATTTCTTTTCCAAATTAAATGGTATATTTTCTTCCCAAAATGAGACAAAAAGCCCCCTTCTAAAATTAGTGAAAAAAAACAACAACCTGGCTTTGATTTGTTTAGGGTTTAACGTACGTTCTTGAAACAGCTAAAGTCATATTCCACATACTACTGTGAACAACAGGCAATGTATTTGAATTAACACTGTTTGACATCCGAATGTCTGTCTCTCAAAGTTCACTTTTAACATCTTACTGTACTCATTCTATGAAACGAGGAAGATTTAAAACAGCAATATTTTGAGGTATATGCTTGAATGTCATCAACTGGATAATTTAGCAGCAAGCACAAAACTCGTTTTAAAATGTATTAAGCACATCAGTTCTAGATTATTTGTAGCTTTACTCTGATACCTTTAAAACAAAAGGCCGCAGCAGTGAAAGATCATTGAGTGTTTCTAGTAGAGAGGTTCTTTTCTCTTTATTTCTCTGTTTTCTACTTGAACAAGCACATGTTGATTTCTCTGTTTTCAACTTGAACAAGCACATGTTGATTTCTCTGTTTTCTACTTGAACAAGCACATGTTGATTTCTCTGTTTTCTACTTGAACAAGCACATGTTGATTTCTCTGTTTTCTACTTGAACAAGCACATGTTGATTTCTCTGTTTTCTACTTGAACAAGCACATGTTGATTTCTCTGTTTTCTACTTGAACAAGCACATGTTGATTTCTCTGTTTTCTACTTGAACAAGCACATGTTGATTTCTCTGTTTTCTACTTGAACAAGCACATGTTGATTTCTCTGTTTTCAACTTGAACAAGCACATGTTGATTTCTCTGTTTTCTACTTGAACAAACACATGTTGATTTCTCTGTTTTCTACTTGAACAAGCACATGTTGATTTCTCTGTTTTCTACTTGAACAAGCACATGTTGATTTATTTCTCTGTATTCTACTTGAACAAGCACATGTCTATGTACCAAGGGGATCATGCCACACAACTTGTATTATGTTCTTATTGGTCACACATACAAACTTGCATTATTTGAGCTTAACAAACTGTACATGCAATATCCATACAAAATCAAAAATAAAAGCTTGGTGCCCTCCCCCAAATATGCCTGAATTGGAAGAAGATGCAACTATGGACAAAGGCAATGATGCATACCAAGTTCCATTATGAGCCCTAAAGGGATTTTCTAAGAAAATGTGCCAGGCCACTGAGAAAGAAATGAAATTTAAATAGTTGGACATCTGATGATGCTGATGGGCTAAAAATCTCCCATGAAAAAACATTTGAAAATTGTAAAAGAATGAAAAAGTTATTAGAATTTTACATTAATCAATAAATGATTAATACTTTCTTCCCAGTTAGGTTTGATCAAAATATCTTTCAATTCACTTTAGTATGTAATGAAGAACAGCAGAAAGTACAACCATTAATTTTAAACCATGCCTGTAGAATGTTAGAGAGGGGAGGTCTGGTACCGACACGTGTTCTCCTCCCGGCCTCAGTTAGTGGTGTTATTGCGTAGCTTTTTAATCATCTAGTCTCAAAACTAACAACAACAAAACCCAAACATCTATTAGATGTGAAGATTTGTTACAGCACCTCGCACCAAAACACAAACATCTTGTCCACAAAGTTCTGCTACTGATATTACCTGAGAACTGACTGATCGACATTCATGTTTTGTGCCGAGTGTTTCAACCTGTAGAATGCCACAGAAATAAGCAAATAGAGAATAATTTACACAAATTCTCCTGTGTTTATATCAAACATTGAATAAATCCTTATTTGGCAATGCGTGAACCACTCACTATAATAATAATAATAATAATTGGAGGTTCTTATATATCGTTTCATCACAACCTAGTTTGTTGCCAAGCCCTTTCTCTACTCCCAGCTGGGGAGCATACAGCCAGAGCTGCCATTTCGGCGCTAACAGCTAGCATTCAACAATTCTAGCACTGCCCAACCACGTACTCATTTTCAGCTGAGTAGACTGGAACAAGCGGAGTAAAGTATCTTGCTCAAAGATACACCACATTGCCGTGCCGTGGCGCGAGCCCGCAACCCTTCGGTTACGAGTCCGGCGTCCTACCACTGGACTACTGTGCCTCCTCATTTACTCCACAAATTTTAGATATGAAGCTTGTTTTCCAAAATATTATGTGCCTGCAATTGACTAATTTACCTTAATATACAAATATTATAGGAGATTTCTACAAGTCGATTATTGAGTCCTAATTATATAAACTCCTCTTTTCGAATGGGACAAATTTAAACGGACAAGTAAGGCTCTGGATTTTGTCAAAATTCTAGAATAAAATGTTCAGCAAATGATTTTCACACTTTCACAGTTGAACACTTGGTCAGTTATATAAATCACTCAAAAATTCCAAATGATGTAAAATACTGGAAATAGAGAAAAGTGTTGAAAATTACACATGTCTTGTCAAATATAAGTATATTTCTAAATATGAGCAGGACTGTTACATAAACTTACAAAATGAATTGGTCTAAAACACAGAAATGTATTTAAACTCAATATTGACCAACTGATACACCTGACAAAAAAAATCCCTATTTTTCACATTTCCAAATTAACTGCCTTAACTAGCTACCATTTGAACATTTTTCACCAGGTATTTCTTTTCGAAGTGATACTTAATTTATCAATGTTGTACTGTCATTCCTAAAACTTTCATTAAAACAGATGTTTGTTTTTTAAATATAGTATGTATCCTCAATACTCAACTCACCATCTCCTATAACACTAACTGGGACTCTGGAAACTGGGAAACGGAACTTATCCTGAGAACTCATATACAAGAGGCCCATGGGCCTAAATGGTCACCTGAGTCTACAGTATTTATTTTTGTTGTTGAAATATGTACCAATTTGAGTAAAAAATAGTATAATGTTAACTTAACTTTGTCAGGACCATGAGCTGATCATTCCTAGACCAATTTTAAGTGAGATCGGCCTATTAGAACTTAGTAGCAAAATAGCGGCCATGGCAGCCAAATTGTATTTCTGATTGACCCGAAAAATAACAACACTTTGTCAGGACCATGATTCGATCATTCCTACAAAGTTTCAGTTCAATCGGCCAAGTAGATCTTTACTTTAAGTTTGAAATAGTTTACCAAAATGGCAGCTGTGGTGGCCATATTGGATTTCTGATCGACCTGAAAAATAACAACACTTTGTCAGGACCATGAGTCAATCATTCCTACAAAGTTTCAGTTCAATCGGCCTAGCAGAACTTGACTTTAAGTTTGAAATATGTTTTCAAAATGGTGGCCGTGGCGGCCATATTGGATTTATGATTGACCTGAAAAATAACAACACTTTGTCAGGACCATGAGTCGATCATTCCTACAAACTTTAAGTTCAATCGGTCCAGCAGAACTTGACTTTAAGTTTGAAATAGGTTTTCAAAATGGCGGCCGTGGCGGCCATATTGGATTTCTGATCGACCCGAAAAATAACAACACTTTGTCAGGACCATGAGGCGATCATTCCTACCAACTTTCAGTTCAATCGGTCCAGCAGAACTTGACTTTAAGTTTGAAATAGGTTTTCAAAATGGTGGCCGTGGCGGCCATATTGGATTTCTGATCGACCCGAAAAATAACAACACTTTGTCAGGACCATGAGGCGATCATTCCTACCAACTTTCAGTTCAATCGGTCCAGCAGAACTTGACTTTAAGTTTGAAATAGGTTTTCAAAATGGCGGCCGTGGCGGCCATATTGGATTTCTGATCGACCCGAAAAATAACAACACTTTGTCAGGACCATGAGGCGATCATTCCTACCAACTTTCAGTTCAATCGGCCCAGCAGAACTTGACTTTAAGTTTGAAATGTAAAATGTTAACGGACGACGGACGACGGACGACGGACGACGGACGACGACGGACGAAAACGGATAGCAATAGGTCACTTGAGCTAAAGCTCAGGTGACCTAAAAATGCTCTATTCAGTATTTGAAAGAAAGCTATCACCTTAAGTAGTTTTCCATTCGGTGACAAGATAATTATATAATTTTGCTTAAACTTCAAGGCTTTTTGTGTGTAAGAGAAGTGTTAATTTTGTTTAGATTTCAAGACTAACCTGCTATGTGTGTGTAAGAGAAGTGTAAATTTTGTTTAGATTTCAAGACTAACCTGCTATGTGTGTGTAAGAGAAGTGTAAATTTTGTTGAGGTTTCCAGACTAACCTGCTCTGTGTGTGTAAGAGAAGTGTTAATTTTGTTGAGGTTTCCAGACTTACCTGCTCTGAGTGTGTAAGAGAAGCGTTAATTTTGTTGAGATTTCCAGACTTACCTGCTCTGTGTGTGGTCCAGTTGGACCTGTAGATTCTCCATCTCCTCCTGAAGCTCGTCATTGGTTCTCTGTAGCTTCCTCACCATGTTGGCCTGGGTATCCACCTTTACAAACATACAACATATCACAATCTATCTGTGTCAAAATGTTAGCCTGTGTAACAGCTAAGGAATATGAGGAGGAAATACTGCCTTACTGGCGGCAAGCTAGCTTTTCCAGTGATGTGGTATATTTAAACCTGGGGACCCCCTCACTACTTAAGCAACGCCGGGCGTGGTCAGTAGTTGGATGGGTGACCGCCCGCACGTTACACTTGGTGGCAGCGGTGGGACTCTGTGATCATGTAAGGCCATGGCCAGTTCCTGGTGGTTAGGGAATGTGCATCGATTCACATGGAGGATCTACGGGATTCCCCGGGCCAAGTCTCGGGACGAGACTTCTCTGAGGTGGGAATAGTATAACAGCTCAAGAATAAGGGGGAAAATACTGCCTTACTGGCAAGCTAGCTTTTCCAGTGATGTGGCATAACCCAGGGACCAGCTCACTAGTTCAGCAATGTCGAGCGTGGTCAGTAGGTGGATGGGTGACCCCCCCACACGTTACACTGCACAATTGGTGGCATCACCCATACATACAGGTTACAATATACATTACTATCTATCACACAGTATCTTACCTTAGGACAAACAAAATGTTCAGATATTATAACTAGAGTGCCATATGTTTCTCTATAAGCGTACACCGAACCTGCTTCCACCTAGACTGAAGCCATGAAGCAGAAAGACCTAGACTTGGCATACCTCATCCTCTGCACTGGCCAGATCCTTTTTAAGCTCCTCTATCCTCCCGCGGAGTTTCTTCACCTCAACCTCGTACTGCTCGCCACGTCGCTTTGTGTGGTCTAGCTCTGTTAACTTCTCCTGTAGCGTCTTCTTCAACTTGCCGTGGAGGTGACGAAGATCATTCAACTCCTGAAGGCAAAATGATCACAAAATTGAGATTTGGTCATTTTAAATTTTCTGGTTAGTTTTGGTTTCCTAAAAGAAAAGTACTTATTTATTTATTTATTTATTTCATCAGTTATTGAGTCAACTAGTCAAACAAGGCCATATTTGTCAGGAGATGGGTATTTATAGATTCTGCCAAACTGAGATTTTATCTGCAGAAAAAGGGAAAAAAAAGGAAAGGATAAGTAAATGGAATGGTACTCTGGTTGGTCGAAAAAGCTCAATTTTCTCTCTTCTATTTCCCCTCCAAGCACGTCCTTACATTAGCTTAGCTGTTGATAGGACGTTCAACACTAAACAACCAACTAATCTCCAACAAGCATAGGATGTAAATGAAAATCCCACTTTTGCGTGGGGATCTCGGAGGGGAGCGTACATGTTTCACCTCAGATAGCCACACAGGGATCCATAAAGTCAATTCTTTTCCTCCTAACCTGTTGGGGATATACTGTATAGCACTTCCAAGGTTACACTGGAGTCACCAACACTCATTATTATTCCTCATCGATTTTACAGCGTGCCTGATTGGTTTAAACACATCACATGACATGATTACAAAACATCGAGTCTCCCTCACGCGATCCATTTTCCCCGTCGAGTATCCCTCTCGGAACCCCTCGCACATTATCGGACGAGTTGTCTCTCTTTGTTAGACTCTTTAACGCCCAAACATCAACAATGGCTGCGAACGGGAGATTCCACCTCCCAACAGCTGAAGAACTTGAAGGGCTATAATTGTTGTTCAATTTGATGTAAAATCAAAACACTGACAGAGATAGGTATTTGTAGTATATATGCTACCAGACCTAATGAAATAAGGGCGAACAGGTCAGTGACAACAGAGGGGATCGTTGCATTGCCTAACGTTAATGTATGTTTGCTATATGTATATAACATACACTCCACAGATGGAATTTCGGAATAATAAAACAGTTATTGCCCTGGTGTGAAGGAGACCTGAAGATTTGTTCCCCCTCGACAAATCATGTTTCCCTTGGGCTTTGCCCTCGGGAAAAATGTTTTATCTCGGGGAAACAACTCTTCAGATCTGCCTCACACCAGGCCAATAAGTGTATATTGCTGAGTCGATTCCACACAGGAAGAAGAAGAATTAAACATATCGTCTACCTTTGATTTGTTTCGATCCACAGCACATCCACAGGGTAACAAGAATATCATTTTGACACCTATACATAATCTACAAATACACTTGTATATAAGTAAATACAAAATTTACAATGCCCATAACAAATCAATTTTCACCAAATAATTTATGAATCAAAAGCTAAGGCCCAGATATTATTGAAATAGCTACATTGTATTTCACATGAAACTGTGATAGTGACTTTTGGGTCATAGGCAATAAAATGAAAACACCCTTTTGTACATCATTTTCACACGGGAAAGGACTTTAGCAGAAACATAATCTAAAATAAATTGTCTAATAATTTTCACAATACAGTCAACATTAGTTTAAACTTCTGATCATTTTAAAGTAATTCCCTGTAAATGGTATTAACGACTGACCTTATTTTTCTCAGACAGGTCGTTCTGGAGCGTCCTCATGTCGGAGTCGACGACCACCGACGTCTGCTGGGTCTTCCTCTGTAATGTGTCCTCCAAGTCTTCAATCTGTATCCGTATCTTTTTGTTTTCTCGTTCAAGACCATACTTCTCTGTCTCCAATCTCTCACGCTTCCCCCACTCGTCAGCATTCTCTCTCTGAAGTCTCTCCAACTGTAATATTTCCATTTAGCAATTTGTTTAACTCACTTTGTACGCTACGTAAATACTGTTTGATAGTTTTGTTAAATGCTTATGTATGATTTCACAGTGAGAAAGTTTACCGTTTACAAACACTCTATACTTATATAAAATGACAGCATGCTTTACAGGTTTGATCCAAACACTAGGGATAATAATACCAGGTAAATGAAAATTCAGTTTGAACATTTGCAGGTCAAATTATTTTGAGTATTCAACATGCAGGTAGTCTTGCTTAAGAAGCACAGTAACATCTCAAAATATATAAATTTAACTTACTCTTTTACTTGAGATCTATGAAATGCTTTGTCTTAATAAAGTGATTATTTAAGGGTAATAAGATGATCTATTACATTTGCAAGATCGTAATCTCACTTAGTATGCAGATTTTGGTACAAAAAAAAGTTGTTCTATCTTTTACTTACTTTACCTTAAATAGACAAATGTAGGAAGTGTGCAAACAGTTAGTTTTACTTGCACCTCAATCTGTTATTTGTCTTGTGAACCTGCTAGTGATACCAGTAATGTTTTCTGTAATTTGTCGTGAGAACCTGCTAGTGATACCAGTAAGTAATGTTATATGTTATTTGTCATGTGAACCTGCTAGTGATACCAGTAAGTAATGTTATCTGTTATTTGTCATGTGAACCTGCTAGTTATACCAGTAATGTTTTCTGTAATTTCTCTGAAGAACCTGCTAGTGATACCAGCAATGTTTTCTGTTATTTGTCTGGTGAACCTGCTAGTGATACCAGTAAGTAATGTTATATGTTATTTGTCATGTGAACCTGCTAGTGATACCAGCAATGTTTTCTGTTATTTGTCTTTTGAACCTGCTAGTGATACCAGTAAGTAATGTTATCTGTTATTTGTCATGTGAACCTGCTAGTGATACCAGTAAGTAATGTTATCTGTTATTTGTCATGTGAACCTGCTAGTTATACCAGTAATGTTTTCTGTTCTTTGTCTTGTGAACCTGCTAGTGATACCGGTAATGCTTTCTGTTATTTGTCTTGAGAACCTGCTAGTGATAACAGTAATGTTTTCTGTAATTTCTCTGAAGAACCTGCTAGTGATACCAGCAATGTTTTCTGTTATTTGTCTTTTGAACCTGCTAGTGATACCAGCAATGTTTTCTGTTATTTGTCTGGTGAACCTGCTAGTGATACCAGTAAAGCTTTCTGCTATTTGTCTTGTGAACCTGCTAGTGATCCCAGTAATGTTTTCTGTAATTTCTCTGAAGAACCTGCTAGTGATACCAGTAATTAATGTTATCTGTTATTTGTCATGTGAACCTGCTAGTGATACCAGTAAAGTTTTCTGCTATTTGTCTTGTGAACCTGCTAGTGATGCCAGTAATGTTTTCTGTTGTCTTGTGAACTTGCTAGTGATACCAGTAATGTTTTCTGTTATTTGTCTTGTGAACCTGCTAGTGATACCAGTAATGTTTTCTGCTATTTGTCTTGTGAACCTTCTAGTGATACCAGTAATGTTTTCTGTTATTTGTCTTGTGAACTTGCTTGTGATACCAGTAATGTTTTCTGTTATTTGTTATGTGAACCTGCTAGTGATACCAGTAATTAATGTTATCTGTTATTTGTCATGTGAACCTGCTAGTCATACCAGTAAAGTTTTCTGCTATTTGTCTTGTGAACCTTCTAGTGATACCAGTAATGTTTTCTGCTATTTGTCTTGTGAACTTGCTAGTGATACCAGTAATGTTTTTTGTTATTTGTCTTGTGAACCTGCTAGTGATATAAGTAGTGTTTTACCACAATTTTTTCCCAAGAACACATGGTTGACGCATTATTTATAGCTCTCACCTTAGTACGGGACATTTCACTGTGGTTGGCTGGTTATATAGCTCTCACTTCATTCCGTGATTTAGCCGATTATTTATCCCACACCTCAAACGATATCACCAATATGTTTGTTCGCAGCCGACTGATTACTTACTTCCTGTCGTAATTCCACGAGACGTTTGTCCATGGCTGACAGATTACTTACCTCCCGTCATAATTCCACGAGGCGTTTGTCCCTGGTTGACCGATTAATTTCCTCCCGTCGTAATTCAACGAGGCGTTTGTACATTGTTGACAGATTACTTACCTCCCGTCATAATTCCACGAGGCGTTTGTCCCTGGTTGACCGATTAATTTCCTCCCGTCATAATTGAACGAGACGTTTGTACATGGTTGACCGATTATTTACCTCCCGTCTTAATTCCACGAGGCGTTTGTCCCTGGTTGACCGATTAATTTCCTCCCGTCATAATTCCACGAGGCGTTTGTACATGGTTGACCGATTATTTACATCCCGTCTTAATTCCACGAGGCGTTTGTCCATGGTTGACCGATTACTCGACTCCTCATCGAGCTCCATCTGAATTCTGCTGATCTCTTCCTTATGGTCATCTTTGATTTTATTCAGCTGTGATGGAAGTAAACAAAATTGATAAACATCAACATTTTGTACATAAATTACTTAAACATTTGTATTATACAGCCTCTGCAATAAACCTGCTAGCACAAACAGTTATATTGAGAGCATGACACCAACACCTACTTTGATGGAAATTCCTGAATATTGTTTCAGAATGATGTTAGGACTGTCTGAAGAATATGTTTACCACAGAAAACAGGACCTTATTTCCACAAAAATGGCTGTTACACTAAATACACTACTTATTAAAACAGCTTGATCATGAATGAAAAAGGTCTACTCAAAATTTATCAAACAAATAATCATTTTTGCACTACTATTTTGACTTTTAATACAAAGATTTGAACAAATTGCAAACCTTCTGATGGAATGTATCCCAGCAGCTTACAAACATATTTGGCTAGATGAGCTACTCATCTGTTATTTTTTTGTAGGATTTTTTTAAGCAAGTCTTGAACATCACTTTTTAAATGTTGTTGAATCCCTTTACTAAGTGATTTAGTGGCTCCCAAGAGTTCACAAGAAAAGCAGGGTGTCCATATGCAGGGCCCGTATTCATGAACCAGTTCTCATGCTCAAGCATGGATTTTTTGCTTAAGCCTAGTTTCTTGTTCCGGTTATAAATCAATCAAAAATCTTATTCTGTCAAGAGACTTGAAGCTGAATACAGTTTTCAATGTTTCAATTGACTTTTTGATCGTTTGGCATGATTTAAGCCAGTTACCAAGGTACAAGAATACTGGTTTGAGCACAGAATCTGTGCTTGGGCATGAGAACGGTTTCATGAATATGGGTCTGCAATTCAATATCTTTCCCAAAACTCACCCTAATATAGCTACTGCACATGCATGTATATATAACACAATTGCATATACCTAGTATAATGAAATACATTTCTGATCAACTGGTTTACATATTAATTCTGGAAAGTCACCTTTTTTGCTGAATACCTAAACATAACTCAATTCAATCCATTTTATATCTGATATTAGTTACGAGCAGTATATATACTATATTTAGTTCTATATTAATCACGAGCAGTATATATACTATATTTAGTTCTATATTAATCACGAGCAGTATATATACTATATTTAGTTCTATATTAATCACGAGCAGTATATATACTATATTTAGTTCTATATTAATCACGAGCAGTATATATACTATATTTAGTTCTATATTAATCACGAGCAGTATATATACTATATTTAGTTCTATATTAATCACGAGCAGTATATATACTATATTTAGTTCTATATTAATCACGAGCAGTATATATACTATATTTAGTTCTATATTAATCACGAGCAGTATATATACTATATTTAGTTCTATATTAATCACGAGCAGTATATATACTATATTTAGTTCTATATTAATCACGAGCAGTATATATACTATATTTAGTTCTATATTAATCACGAGCAGTATATATACTATATTTAGTTCTATATTAATCACGAGCAGTATATATACTATATTTAGTTCTATATTAATCACGAGCAGTATATATACTATATTTAGTTCTATATTAATCACGAGCAGTATATATACTATATTTAGTTCTATATTAATCACGAGCAGTATATATACTATATTTAGTTCTATATTAATCACGAGCAGTATATATACTATATTTAGTTCTATATTAATCACGAGCAGTATATATACTATATTTAGTTCTATATTAATCACGAGCAGTATATATACTATATTTAGTTCTATATTAATCACGAGCAGTATATATACTATATTTAGTTCTATATTAATCACGAGCAGTATATATACTATATTTAGTTCTATATTAATCACGAGCAGTATATATACTATATTTAGTTCTATATTAATCACGAGCAGTATATATACTATATTTAGTTCTATATTAATCACGAGCAGTATATATACTATATTTAGTTCTATATTAATCACGAGCAGTATATATACTATATTTAGTTCTATATTAATCACGAGCAGTATATATACTATATTTAGTTCTATATTAATCACGAGCAGTATATATACTATATTTAGTTCTATATTAATCACGAGCAGTATATATACTATATTTAGTTCTATATTAATCACGAGCAGTATATATACTATATTTAGTTCTATATTAATCACGAGCAGTATATATACTATATTTAGTTCTATATTAATCACGAGCAGTATATATACTATATTTAGTTCTATATTAATCACGAGCAGTATATATACTATATTTAGTTCTATATTAATCACGAGCAGTATATATATACTATATTTAGTTCTATATTAGTCACGAGGAGTATATATACTATATTTAGTTCTAAATTAATCAAAACAATTGCAGTGCTACTGTATGCCTAATATTACATACCCAAAAAATAGTAAATTGTTTACAGTCTGACACAGGGGCCTGATGGACATTTACCCAAATATATTCAAGTATGTATTAAGATGACAATAGAAGGAAAGCTCAAAAATTATTTCATATTTATGTATTCAATATACATGTGCAATAAAAAGTTTTGTGGGGATAAACAAATTGGTGATTTCAAATTGAGGAAAATGATTGCTTTAATAACAGTGGTTAATTCTGAAGCAGATCTACCGGTATATCAAACTGTGTCCTATCTTAAGTGTTCCAGGGCAGACAAATCAGACTAATAAGGGTTCCGTGATTATCTGACCGAAAAATTAATAGCTTCCATGTTTAATTTGATTATGATCTGTAGCAGGGGAATAAGAAACTGTTCCTTTCCCTCCAGACTCCTGATATAAGAGCTCAAGGGTGACAATCTTTGTTTAGGACTGACAACAGATTTGTACATCACTTCCTTTCCCTCCAGACTCCTGATATAAAAGCTCAAGGGTGACAATCTTTGTTTAAGACCGACAACAGATTTGTACATCACTTCCTTTCCCTCTAGACTCCTGATATAAGAGCTCAAGGGTGACAGTCTTTGTTTAGGACTGACAACAGATTTGTACATCACTTCCTAAAGCTCAAGGGTGACAGTCTTTGTTTAGGACTGACAACAGATTTGTACATCACTTCCTTTCCCTCCAGACTCCTGATATAAGACCTCAAGGGTGACAATCTATGTTTAGGACTGACAACAGATTTGGACATCACTTCCTAAAGCTCAAGGGTGACAGTCTTTGTTTGGGACTGACAACAGATTTGTACATAACTTCCTTTCCCTCCAGACTCCTGATATAAAAGCTCAAGGGTGACAATCTTTGTTTAGGACTGACCACAGATTTGTACATCACTTCCTTTCCCTCCAGACTCCTGATATAAAAGCTCAAGGGTGACAATCTTTGTTTAGGACTGACAACAGATTTGTACACCACTTCCTTTCCCTCTAGACTCCTGATGTAAGAGCTCAAGGGTGACAATCTATGTTTAGCACTGACAACAGATTTGTACATCAGGTCCTTTCCCTCCAGACTCCTGATATAAGACCTCAAGGGTGACAATCTATGTTTAGCACTGACAACAGATTTGTACATCAGGTCCTTTCCCTCCAGACTCCTGATATAAGAGCTCCAGGGTGACAGTCTTTGTTTAGGACTGGCAACAGATTTGTACATCACTTCCTTTTCTTCCAGACTCCTGATATAAGAGCTTAAGGGTGACAATCTATGTTTAGGACTGACAACAGATTTGTACATCACTAGACCAGTTTCTAAAACTGAACCAAGATTCCCCTATCTTTATATATATACACACACAACAATCAAGGGTGAATTCATACATAATAATATACAACATTTAATATAGCGCCCTATCTAGCTAACATGAGCCAATTTAAAGCTGCCTTATCAGGCGCTAACTACTAGTCCTATGCCACCTGGCTAATATCTCCCTATGTGTGTATGCCTGCGTGTGTGCTGGAGATGTATATATATAATGTGTTACATACCTGTACTAAAACATCTTGTTTGGAACGCTTCAGATCGTCATATTTTGATTTCATTCCATTCAGATCTAATTGGAGTTTTTCAATGGATTTCATCAGCATTGTTTTTTCACTGAAAAATTCACAAAAATAAAACATTGATGAAAATGAAATGGTATTGGAAATCCAAAATAAATTAAAAGTTACACAAACATATTTATATTATATCAACATGCAACTCGATCTGCATCAATGTGGTTGCAATCAACGGTCAAATGAGTGAAACTATTTCTTTCACTGATACGGTGTGTTGAGGAGATCCAATTTCATAATGAATAAAAGCACAATAGGACAAGTCTTTCCAAACATATAGCTAGGGAATATAGTGAACAAAGGATGATTTCATAAAGGTGGGTATTTTTAAATTTTGCACTCTTTTGATCCCTTATAATTATGGCCTTATGATCATGAGCTATCTGAAGGGTCAGCCCTCCTTCATTCTGGATTTTGATTCTCATAACCTGTATTTTACGTACTTTCATGGAAAAACTGGCACAAATATTCACCAGAAAAAAATTCAGATAGGTTTTTAACTTATTTTTTTGTTCTGTGAACCCCCATGAGCCAGGCTGCACCTTTGACTAAACAGCTCAACCACTAGAAGATGAGTTTTTTCAGTTGTCAAGTATGTACATATTCTTATCCTGTCTACAGACTGATGATTATAAGACCAAGTTTTGACAAACGGTTTCTGAGGAGGGGTCAAATAATATTTACAAATTGTATTTTCACAGACTAAAAGGCAATCACAATACTAGGTCACCAGAGAGAGTCAGGTGATTTTAAAAATACAAGATAAAATAAATGCAAAAGTATATATATAATAAAGAGATAGAAATTGAAAAGATGAAAATTACACTGGAGTTTACATGATAGGATTTGACAGAAAATAATTTAACATTCTTAAATTAAAAAGTTATCAAAGAAAGGTAAGCTTGAACTTTGTCAATAGAGTACCAAATGTACATTTACAAATTGTTTTATGTAATGATGCTTATTTCAGCCTTAAAATTGTAACATATATATATATATATCTGTAGTAGTTAGGATATTTGAAAATTTACCAAAGGGTTCTTGAGTTGGAGTGTAACCCTTTCACCCCCCTATGTAACTTTAGTAGACTCGACCATGCATTGATCTGGATGAGTCCATTATGGTCTACAGTGGTGAAAGGGTTAAACAGATTCAATTATATCCCAAGTTCAACACACTTACATATTAACTTGCTCCTTTACTTCTACACTGTCTTAAAATAATGGTACTTCAGAAGCTAATTACACCTCTGGTCTATGTTCATTTGACTTCACCTTAAAACTGATACATGACCTCCTTGATGTGACCACATCTGTATGAGAAGCACTGTTACCTAATTAAGTACACATGAGAGTCGGAGACTGTGAGGGCTCCATATTTCACCTTTTCCGTCTTTTCGTATTGCAGAGTTATCTGATCTTATGAGCAGGTATTGATTGTTACGTCATTTGTTTGTGAGAGTAACGTCATAAATTTTTGAGAAAACGGTGTAATTTTCTCTCATAAACTAATGACGTAACAATCAATACCTGCTCACAAGAACAGATAACTCTGCAATACAAAAAAGACGGAATAGCTATATTTGTAATTTAAATATTTCCTCTACCGACTATACTTACTCTCTTTCACCAAGTAAAGTCTTTTGTGCCTCATCTAGCTTCAGCTCATATAGGACTTTTTTCTCCTCAGCCAGACTTCCATCCGACTCATTCGAAAGTTCGTCAAACATTTTTGGTCTTGATTGTGATTTTTGTTGTTCAACATTAATATTCAAATTATTCACTTCAGTTTTTGTTTTAGTTCTAGTTGGAGAGAGAGCTTGTGATTCTTTTCCCTCCTCGCTGGAACTGTCTGCCGGTTGCACAGCTCTATCACTGGTGGGAGATAACTCTTGTCTTACATTTTCTAAAACAGTAGAATCTACATCCATTCCGAGCTGTTTATTAAGTTTGACATTTTCTGCACAAAACTCTTGTCTTTCTCGTTTTAAATGTGTGCACTCTTTCACCAGTACCTCTAACTTTCCACGCAATAGTCTGTTTTCTTCGCGAGCCTTATTCCTCTCATTACGAACCTTGCTCCACTTTTCTCTCCAATTGGCAGTACAATCAGACCACCAGCGCATAGTCTTTTCCATCTGTGTTGCTCGAGCCCTTGCTTCTTCAAGTTCCCTCATACGAAATTCATCCCGGTCGTCCCATTCATCCATGCTTGACATTTGAGATACGGGAGTGACATTTCCTTCCCTCATTGGCGGTGGGGACATTGGGAGAGGTGGCCCAGCAGGTGGTGCAGTGGCCCGCAGATAGGAAACATCTCCCTTAGAACTACCCGGCTTCACCTTTTGACTCATGGTGATTTGTCAGTTACAACTGTTTCTGTAAACTATTATTTGTCATGGAAGCTTTTTTTTATATATATATATAATTTTACAAATGTAATGAAAAGTAATTTTTACATGTATAAATTCAATGTACAGGTCACTTTAAATTGATTTTTCACATTTGCTATGAAAGCATTTGGTTTCATATTGATAACCATACATATTTATTTTTCATTAAGTAACCACTACATATTGGTATCCTATTGTTTCCAGTCCAAATCCAACAGGTTGTTATTCCATATCTGAAAAATATAAATATAAAGTCTATTTTAACTTGTTATATTAATGCACTAATTACAACAAATATATGGCAAGTGGAATAACCTCAGCTATTCAGAAAAGCCATGAAAAGAATAAAATGTATTAAATTTTAATTTTCAATTTGTCAATAGTATATTCACGATAAACAAATAAGTGCACGTGTATTATACAGAAATGAATAGCTCTATACATAGAATTTAGTTTTGGTGCCTCGAGCTAGGTATATAACAATTGATCAGGACAATCCTGTGTGCAGTCAAGCGTGAGCAAACCAGTCAATGTCCAAAAATCTTGGTTTGATCCTCAGCGGTTTCGTAAGAATGGAGTGATATCGCCGTCTGATATTGACAGGGACAGTAAGTCAGTTAGTTATCGGCCTCTTGTGGCACAACAGGTTTTTACCACCAACAGACAACATTTGTTCTTTCAGTGATGTCCTAATAAAATCTCTTCAGAACACAAGTTTGTTGTATACAATTGAACATGTCAAAAATAGAGACCAGAACAAGGGGCCACAGTAAGAAATTAGAAAAACAATGTGCAAGACTGAACATCAGGAAAAAAACCTTTTCTATCAGAGTTATATAGATTACTGGAATAGCTTGCCAGGAAGTGTTGTAACTAGCTCAGGCACTTTGAATGGATGTTATTCTACTTTGAACCATTATTGGAAGGTTCCTGGAGCAAAGTTCAACCAGAGTTGCTACTAAGTCACCCAGGAACTATATATATATTGTACACAAATTAATGTTGAATACATGTACAGTAGGCACTTATGAGGTGCATCGTATATATATCGATAGGACATGAAATCAAGAATATACATGTAAATACATCTTGAGTAAAAGAAATTAAGGAGCTCCATAGGATCATGGAGATAACAATCAAGGAGGTCCAGAAGCTTAATACAGACCGATGAACTGATATAACTGATATTATAATTAAAGGTTAATTATTACAACGGTAAAATGATGTTGTAATCGTGATGCTCTGATCTATAATAGATGTAATTTACGACCATTTCCAGCATTTTTTTTACAGAAACAATTTGTTGACGGCATTCTTTTCAGATGTAAGAACTAGAGCTGTACTTAGTGTCAATATTTAACATAATCATGATTGTTAAATGCTGTGGATGATAAAAATGGGACAAGAATTGCACTGACAATGAAAACTTACCATTTTTTCTTCTTGTTATCTCTGTTGTTTTAATGCTTTTGTTCGCCTATTTAACTCGCTTTCCATAAAACGCAAAACTGACTCAGATTTAGACCGAATAATATGAGGGTCTTTAAGGGGCAATTATCCGTAATTATCTAAGGCAGTTCAAATTGCCAAAACAAATGATCAAAATAGATGTTTTTCTTTATGTTATAACACATACTATTCAAATAACCATATGCTATGTTTTATTCAGACCAAATGTCAGCGATTGGTCGTTATTTGTGCGTTTTATCTTAAAGTGAGTATCCCCGTTGCACCCCTTTCAAAAGCGATAGTAGACACGAGATAGAGCAGAGCCTCACTTGTTCCGACCCTGTAATAAACATGAGTCAGGAGAAAATTAAACGAATAACTGATGCAGTTTCCGTCCATCCCGATTTTCCTAAACCAGGAATCGTATTCATGTGAGTATTTGCCTCGTAGATATAGTGCAAGACAGCAAGAACGTCTTATGTAATTTACATTTACAAGTACGATACATTTACTCACGGACTATAAACTGTAACAACTAAAACAGGGTTCGATTTCACGTTTGTTCCATGCTGATTCCTGAAAATAAGTCTTATATGCACCTTTATGGTAAAAAATGTAATAAATGTCAGTTGTTATTAACACGAATTAAAGATATCAGGAGAAGGGAAACGCAACAACTTTACTGTGAAAGTTTTGTATTTTTGTCAGAATATAGATATGTATATTTAACTTGCATGTAAATATATATCAGACTGGGATTTGAACCTGGGACCACAACAATTTAAAACACTCTAGCAAGTTACCTGGTCATTGGTAGTCAACAGGCCCAATCTTGCTACACATCTACAGTTGTATGCATCTCCCTATTTTTCGAAGTTTTCCCCCGTTAACAGGTCGGGGAAAACCACTAACTTGCGTATAATATGCAAATCGCCTATTATACGCCAATAGGGGTATGGATTTGTTACTCACCAAAATCACTTGAATCATAACTTTTTCAAATAGTTTGTCCAAATCGCATTTATTCAGTCATGAAACATAATACAAATTATGCAAAAATAAACTTTATTTGCATGTCGGAAAGTACCAAAAATAGATGCAATACTTCCAGTAAAGTTACATCAAGTTTCTAAATAGCCAACGCTTTCAGTAAACATCTTTTAGCAAAATATTGTTTACCTCGTCGTAAATTAATGCGATTTTTAATAACATCTTGCAAAAGTTACTGTTAAAGCGATTTCAGTTATTTTCAGTAACAAATCCATACTCCAACTGGCGTATAATTGGCGAGTTTTCCCCAACCTGGTTAAGGACTCCCCACCTTTCGTAATACACATGTTTTTTCTTGTCGTATTTTCGTGTCGTTATTTCCGTATTACGTATCGGGCATTCCATTACCGTAGTGTAAATTATAGCAACACCGGGTAAATAATAGGACACGTGCATGACGATGATATGTCAACTCTCGATATCGAGACTTAACTTGGAAATGTTATCACACGTACTTCAGAAATAAAGCTTATGATACAAAAACATTAATTAAATCACGGGAAGACACTGACATAAGATCAGACGACTTCAAGAAGGTCATATAGGAGGCGTATGGAATGCAGACTGATGTGTTTTGTTTACCGACCTCACCTGTATGTATCACGTGCTAACAGTAGTTCACAAGCTCTTGGTCGCTACGACTTTTGATGTCGAGCGAGTTACGCTGTCAGATAAATCGTTTCACAAATTTCAATAAAAAACACTTTTTGTACCATGTTATAGATATTTTATGGTAAATAAAATATTTGTAGGGGTGATTAGCAATGTTTCTTTTCATTATTCTATTGGAGTAATAGTTTCGAACAATGCCTAACACTCAAAAAATATGAAAGGGTTGAATTTGACAAAAAAACATTTGTTCAGTGTTTTTTACCCAAAAATCCCCAGTTTATCGGAATGCTTAGATTTTTATAAAATCATCTCTACATAGTGACATAACCGTTATGTGAAACTTTCATTGAATTCTGCTGGCTGATTGCGAAAGGGTGGAGCCTCCTTAAAGGAGACAACTTGTACAATAAGGCCAAGGAATATTCGGCACATGTATCTGAGGGGTCCAGATGTACATGTACCTGACCGAAACTAAAATGCTGACTATTGCTTATTTGCATTATTTATTTCTAAAACAATGTCAAGCCACATGTAGTTTTTAAGATGCATTATGTAATTCATTGGATGCATGAAGGAATGGCATAATATTCTTGTTACATTGTTATTTATCCTCCGAAACTGTGCATTTTTTATTTAGCTGTGCCTGTAGAATGGCCCAAGTTTGTTCGTTGTTATCATGGAATATTTCTGCGCCCCCTGTATACTGTTTCAACCGGGATACGCAAATGTAACCTAAACAATGTATAATATTATAATTAAATATCCTGTTTCTATGTGTGATTCATATATAAAGTGAAACAAGGGTTGAGCACAGGTACCATTACAAAATGCATTGGATGCTCTACCCAATTGAGCTTAGCTTCCTGGTCACTGGTCATCCTGCCCTAGCTATCCTGCTACAAGGAGTATAATATTGCATTCAAAATACAACATTTAAGCGAAAGCATTTTAATCAGTTGTTTAGTCAAGTAATTAGGTTACAGTATTCTGTATTTAAATAATTCTGATTTCTGATTGAATTAAGTTATTACTTACCTTTTAAAATGAATTATCAATGCCTTAATTTTCTTAGTTTTAAATAAAATAACCCCCCCCAACACACACACACACCTCATAATCTGGAATTAATGACATTTAGTTAACTCATTCACCCATGAGATTTCATAATGAACTATTCCAACCTTTGAATTGGAGGAGTTCAAATGTGTCTTCAGGGGTGAATGAGTTAAGATGACACTGAAACACGGTTTGATGGGTTAATCCTTTTTTTTTAAATATTGATTTTTACAAAGTGATGGTTTTTTTTCGTAAATTAATCAAATTTTAACAAAGAGCAAGGGTTCTTTCTGCTGATTTCTAAAGTCAAAACGTACAAATGATAAAAATGGACGGTTTCCAAAATTTCGCGATTTTACTTCTGTTCTCTTATCAGTATATGTACTCTGATCAGTATTAAATGTAGCCAGCCTGCTAGTTCTCATGGCTTTGTTTATCTTGCTTATCTTTCGTTCTCCCAAGTTATTGTAGAACTAAATGTAATAAATTAGAAACAACCGTGGAAAATTACTATATTTGAATATCTAATAATTGCATTAATCATTCTGGTTCAATCTTTTGTAAGGTACCTTTATAAAGAAGAAATTATTTGACCTTAACAGTCAGTGGTTTTTGTGGGGACTTTGGGGCCAATAATTGGCCCCATTTCCATTTGAAACATTTCATATTTATACCTAATTCCCTAAATTTGCAGTTTACTCATGAAAACTTCCTTCACAATTGGTATATTTTCTTCCCAGAATGAGACAAAAAGGTCCCATCCCTCTGAAATTGATGAAAAAAGCCCTGACAGTGCTTCTTAAAAGTTCCTTGAAAATAGCCAAAAAAGGTTTAAGAGTATAGGCGTGAAACAATAGGGTAGGTATTGGGTAACAGTAAACAATTTTATTTTTATTTTGCTTTAGCACAGTCCACAAAACTTCCAACTAGAATTCTCGTTATCGGAGTTATCATTCACCTTTTCTGCCTGGTTTATTTGAGAGTGAGGTATTTCAGAAGCCTGTGGTTTAGGCCAAACAAATATATTTGTTCCTGTAACATGTCTGGAAAAATAAGGTCAATACACATAGTACACATTGTAGGTAATAAATTCTATTTTTCATTTGTGTTTCTGAAGGTTTACATGCGAGAGTAATCTTGACCTTAACAGAGCTACTTGAAAATGTATTGTCCCAAAAACGTTTAGGGAATGCACAAAAAATTGGTGAAGGTATATGCCAGAAATTAAGTTTTTTTTATTTGGCCTTATATTTCTAGTTTATGAAGGATTTTTTATAACTGTACTATTCAATAAGGAGGCACAATAGTCTATGGGTTAGGACGCCGGGCTCATGAACGAAGGGTTCCAGGTTCAGGTCATGGCACTGCACTGTGTTGTATCTTTGAGCAATATACTGAAACCCGCTTGTTCCAGTCTACTCTGCTGTAAATGAGTATGTGGTTGCGTAGTGCTAGAATTGTTGAATGCTAGCTGTGAGTGCCGAAATGGCAGCACTGGCTGTATGCTCCCCAGGGAGTTGAGAAAGATATTAGCTGGTTGCAAAGGCCCTACAACCACGGATAATAATTTGTGAACCACATTGAGATGATCAAACTACAAACTAGGTTGTGATAAAGCGGTAGATGTAAGGACCTCAAGTTATTATTATTATTATTCAAGTGATAAAAATCTTTCTTATTTGTTTCCTATAACAGGAATATATTTCCCGTATTACACGACCCGTCACTGTTTAAGGACCTGATTGATGTGATGATAGAGAGTGTGCGGACCAATGCTGCCGGCGCCCAGCTGATAGTGGGACTAGACGCTCGTGGCTTCCTGTTTGGACCAATGATTGCCCAGGCCCTGGGAATTGGGTTCTCTCCAATACGCAAGGCTGGGAAACTACCAGGGGAGACACACAGCGTAACATACAAACTGGAATATGGCCAGGTACATTACTGCAAACATAATTTAAAGTTTGAATACCGGACCAGGGGCCACAGACACATTTAATTCTTCCTACATTACAGTACATGTATAACTTTAAACCATCATACATTGATCAGCATGACAATGGTGAGAGGTCATATTTTTTAGCAATGATTATCTGTCCCTTTTTGTGTCTGTCTGTTGTTGTGTTTGTTAGCCCAAAAGAAACTTCCCTAGCTACCATGAGGGTGTGACAGAGAAATCTCCAATCTAGCTGAGGGTTGATTTTATTGCTGTCTAAACCTGATGCTCGACAACGAAAGAAGGGTTGGAGATTTCTCTGTCACACCCTCAATGTAGGGAATGATAATTTTTCTTCCGTCCTATTATTTCAGTTACAACTTCACCTACAGTAGTCTGGCATATGATTATTACCAAAAGTACATGTGACAAATGATTTATTGCCAAAATTTTAACTTTTTATAACATTACAGTTGACTGGGTGTGCTATTTTTCACAGGGTTATCTCCCCCTTGGGTTGGCAAGCTTGTGTTTGCAGATTAATATAATCTTCCCCTACTTTGAGAGTGTGACAGGAAATCTCAATCAAGCCTGGGGGTGATTTTTTGGTTGTCTAACTTGAGGCTCTCGACAAACAGAAAATCACGCCTGAGAATGAGAATCTCTCTGTATCGCCTCAAGGGGTAGCTAGTTATTTTCCCGTTTTATAATACATGTACTGATGGCATATGAATATTGAAATTCATTTTATGACATTACAATTGTTGTTCACTTTTTATGTCAGATGAAGGATGGAAGTAGCATTGAATCATAAATCCTCACCATCGTCTTGGGAAATCTAGAATCCAGTCAGTTATTACAAGTCTGTGTTGCCTGTTCAAAACCTACCGTATTCGCTGTAATAAGTACCCAGGTCACTAAAAATTGAGCTTAAATGAGTGCGTTTATTAGGATGATAAAATATTATGGTAGAAAATGTTGTGCAACTTATCAACTGTTGTTACAGTATAACAGCTGGAGGACATTAGAAACATCCCAGTGTGGCTTGGAGGTTTGGATATCAAATGTTTCGACTGCTTCACGGGGACTCCAGCCACGATCAACAGACATAAATCTCTGCTTTAAAGTGCAAGTACTCGACTGTAAATAATTGACCCGGTCAGGTCACTTGTCTGGGAGAAGGCAATACGGGAGAATGTTTATACAATTTCAATATCCTCCGAACAATAGAGAGGGGCGCTAATTACGGCAAATACAGCATGAACATTTTTAGAAAATGTGACTTTTTACCTTTTTCTATGTTTCAGGATACCTTTGATATCGAAAAAAATGCTGTGAGTCCAGGAGAAAAGGTTGTGATTGTAGATGACCTTCTAGCAACTGGAGGTAATTGACACAAACTGATAGTTCATATGTGATATATATCCTCAACCCCACTGTTTTAGTCCGACTAACAATAGTGTTAATCCTCAGCTCTGTTGTCAACTTTCCGTAAAAATCTACTACAGTAGTTCAGAATGGCTATACAGATTATCCTTATTTGGAATGAAACATTCCTGCGACAATTTAAATCTTCTATAATGAATTTGAAGGTAGGGCCTCCATTGGAGGCAGAGTAGCAAAAGCTCAGTGGAGAGATTTGATCATACTTTACAAGTCATTTTATATATGGATATATTTTGGCTTAATCAATTTAGTATTAAGCATCCCTAGGCCATGTGGATTACTCTTTGTATGATTTTCCTAGGGACAGTCAGAGACAAAATGGCAAGGTCTAATAGGAGATTTTAACTGCTGAAACAACAGATGTTTTGTAGCATACCAGAGTTATATTTATTCAGGCCAAGGGGATTCAGTTTAGAATAAATGGAAGTGATGGTCTCCGTGTTTGGTCCAAATAGGGATTTTGTATGTGTTGAAGACATGCATATATGTTGAAAGTAATATATTTGAGATTTCAATGAGTGATCTACTCGGTCTCACAGTACTTGTATTTATGGATGAAGGACAGGTATCAGCTTAGCGATTTGTCAGGTTTATTTTACCTGAGACCAATCAAACAGCTAAATTTGTGCCTTCAATTTTGCTATGACATATTCCAGGGGTGCAGAGTGTACGTGAGCATATAACCCCGAGAGATCGAGGATGCCCTTGAACGTGCTTGTACCCAAGGTACATGGTATTTCAATACGGTGATGTCTCCTTATTTTGTAGGGAGTCTCCCTTTATTTTACATTGAAAAACTGAAATTTCATCTGGAAAAACAGAATCTCGATCACTCACCACTTTCTGAGTTGAGAAAGGTATTGACTGGTTGCAAAGGCCCTATAACCACAGATGATAATTTGTGAACTACTTTGAGATGACCTACGAACTAGGTTGTGATAAAGTGGTTTATAAGAACCTCGAAATATTATTATTATTTATCAATTTCAACAGGTACAATGAAGGCCGCATGTGACTTGGTGTGTAAGGCTGGAGGCGAGGTCCTGCAGTGTCTCGTCATCATGGAACTGGAGGATTTACGGGGACAGGATAAAGTGGCCATGCCTGTGACAACACTCATCAAATACTGATCAGTCCTCTACACACTGCCTTATAACCATATGCTTCTATGTGATTTACCTTAAGTTAAACAGATACATGTATGGACAATGAAACCTGTCTAATCTGACACCCTATGAGATCCGAAGAAATGGTTGTAACAAACAGAATGTCAGAATACACAGGTTTGGTTGGTTTACAGCTCACCAGTTAAAAGTAACAGTGAGCTGATGCTGTACTCAAGATTTTTATATTTTTGTGTTCATCTTTAAAATATATTTTCGGTTTGTGTCCTTGAAAAATGTATCCAAGTCCAATTATTGTGTAACAGAAGCTATTATTTTTCATTGCCTCTGCTATGGATCAAACCCAAGTCCTACGGTTTACTGGTCTAATACTACTCTACTGATTGAACTAAACAGAAATTCTCATTGGCCTAGTTTGTGGATAGCGTCAAGTATTTTACCAGGTTGTTGTATTCCTCTCCAGGGAAGATTCAAGAACTTGCCCGGAGTGTTTCCAGGAGTAACAGCGAGGCTTTTGAGAGAAAGGCTAGCCCGTATAGAAAAGGCTACCTAAAAGCACATGTGCTGCACATGAGCTTCACATGAGAAGCACATGAGATTGGTGTTAGCATCATATGCAAATGAGGTGAGCCACATGAGCTTTACGTTAGCTGAGGTGAGCCGTGTCTTAGCACACCTGGTTTGCACATGAGCTTTCTGTAAACTAACCAAAGCTCATATGGCTTTTGGAAAGCTCATGTTATTTATGTGAGCTATTCGGACTTAGGAAAAGTTAATGCTTATGTGACTCATGGTAGAAAAATTTGAAAAACAACTAAGTCCATTTAGCACATGTGAAATTTCATGTGAGCTATTTGGACAAGGCTGTTGTAAGATATTATAGTGCTTAGTATGATGTACATGTAATTGAATGTTGCAATTATTTTACCATTCTTGGGAAGAAATTATTTTGGACCTCGAAATGGAGTTCTGTGTTACATATTTAAATGCTTTTAACTCCTTAAGTTTTCATCCGCAAAACTGCCCATTTCATATATATGTATGCATACATTTGGGGTTTCGTCGGTATATCCCGACAATTAAAAATATATTGTAATATTGTACAGAAGGATGTAATTATTGGACCATTTTGCATAGATTCTCACTCTTTCTAACTTCTACAAGTTTTGTCAGAGTACGTGGGATCTACACTTTCTATACTATTTACAGGTGATTTATTTTCCATGTGCAGAAAATGTTTTGTTTGAGTCTTCTAATTCTACATGATTTTAATTTTCACATATTATATTTTTAACAGTGCGTTCGTGTGTTCATGCATGTACATGTATGTTGTAAGTGAAGATTTCAATATTGACCTTTTTTTTTGAAAAGGGAAAAGTCCCATTATACCTGCTTGTTAAGTGAGATCCTAGATTCAGGATTTTTTTTTGCACTGACATAAGCAAATACCTTGTTTTCTATAAAGGTCTTTTTTCTAAACTGTTTTTACAAAATTTAGTTGTAAACAACAATGCATACTTAATTTATCTTCAATGAAAAAAGATGATCTGTTTCTACATTAAATCATTCTAATTATGCTTGTCAAGGTAAACTCCCCGTGTACAGAAGACACCAGAGTTTACACATGTTGAGGATGATATTTTAATGGAATACTGTAAATGTTATTCCTGGTTTTAATCTTCAGATGTTTTCATGGAAGATTTTGTAACCTTTTATTTACATTTCCACTGCCTTAATATTATGTTATGAAGTAACTAAATTCCTATTGCAATCATGACACTATGAATACACTTGAATTTGTCTTTTTGTGATTTTGATGTCATTTACAGCATTTTAACCCTTTCACCTCCTATGTAACTTTAGAAGACTCTCCCATGCATTGATATGGATGAGTCCATTATGGTCTACAGTGGTGAAAGGGTTAAGTGTGACATTTTAGATTACCTGTCAGTATCTGTTCTATTTTTAATTGAATTAACATGCTCAATATTTTAACTCTGTTTGGAAAAATGAGGAAATATTTTATGAGTGAGGGTTAGCAATTCTTTACAGGAATGATGTCATATAAGGAACAAAGAGCATAACTCCCCTTCTCAAACTGACGTTGTGTGCCGATTTGTTAGCATGACCTTTCATCCATTTCATTCCTTATTTGAAACATTTTAAAATATATTAAGGCACTAAGAATGAACTCAACTATTTGGCAAACAGTTCTAGAGTAACTTTTGCCAAATGTTTTCATCGAGGGGCATTTTGCAATTTTTCATAATTGAACAAGAAATAACAAATCGTGTAGGTATCATGTATTTTAAAATTCTTCATCACAGTATTATGTAGAATCTGGATCAGAACCAAGGATTTTAAGTATGAAAAATTAAAGCATCTGTCACTCTTTACACAATAATTTTAGCTTATAGATACATGAACTTTTGTTTCAATGTATCCAGCTGGTGCATATATTCCAACATCAAAGGTTCAATAACAGTATAACTAGCTTTCAATGAAATAAAATTATAATTTTGAATTATTTTCACTTAGAAGATATACATTTTTTGTTATTAATTGAAATAAAGTAGGTTTTTTTCAGAAGTACACGTACAGTACAAGATGAAGGATATTTCACAATAAACAGAAAAAAGCGTTGTTGTTGTATTGTTCTGATATGTTCCGATGTCTACTACAATAGTTTACCGGTGATAAGCCCATATCTGGGAATAAGCCCACCCCACTTTTTCTTACTTTCCTGCATAGGATCGGTGCACGGTAATAAGCCCACCCCAATTTTTCTTACTTTTCAGCATAGGATTGGTGCACGGTAATAAGCCCAACCCACATTTCTGAAGTTCGTAATTGTCTCTTAAAAGAATATTGTACAATACATGTGTTAAGCTAACCAGCAGGTAATCTTGATTGGAAAACAACAGCTTGATTAAGTTCACTGCCAGTGAGTTAAACCTGGACATCAAAAAAGTACCTGGTGATGATGTAGTCTGATAGAGATTTAAACCACATATTTGCATATTCCTTTAATGTGTGTATCAAGCAGAAAACATAGTTTTAGCATATAACTGACTTTGATATTATCAAGAAAACATTTTTTATCAAGTAAATCAAAAACAAACAGTGGAGACATAGCTTAGTTTTATTTAACTCATTCACCCCCAAACTTTTATAATGAACTATTCCAACCTTTGAATTGGAAGAGTTCAAATGTGTCTTCAGGGGTGAATGTGTTAATGTGCCGATTCCTATCATTAATTTGCCATGGAATAAAAACTTGTATTATATAATTAAAATAAATCACTGAATATTATATCTCTCTAGAACTTTCTCCTATCTTAGGGATCTTCAGGGGATTTGAGGTCATTTGAGCGTATCCAATATGCTCCTTTTCTTTTTTCATATATATTTTATTGACACATTTAGCGCTTACGTACGATCATTGTACGTCACAATTTACAGACATCCATATTACGTGTGCTTTATTTCAAATTGCCTGTGGAGCCCGAAGTTGGGTGAACGTATTAGCGTCATATAGCCTAGTGTTTCGTTTTAACTCTATTTCTATGATGGACTCAATATAGTCGATAGGTTTGAAATTTCCTTAAAAGTAGCAAGCTGTTGAGAAGTTGATGTCTGGGTACAGATCTACAGACAGCCTTTTGACATCAACAGTGTGCCTTCCAGATTATCACAGTTTTCTGCCGAATGGTTATTAAAACAGTAGCTGTGTTATGTACCTGTACAAATTATTAGATTCATAGAGGAAGATTTACCGTTAAATACCATATATTTCACAGGAATGGTAGCTAGAACACCATATTTTTCACATGTATGAAGCAGGAGTGAAAATGTAATGTAGATGTATGTACCTTAAAGTCTATTAGATCAAAAATGAATTGAATGTTCAAACACAACAACTTGGAGCAAATCAAGTCTTCTAAAATACAGACTTTCCTGCCGCTTTTTCTCCAGTTTTGCTATAAATTACCACTCACTTGAGGGTTGTTCAAAAGACAAAGCGAGTAGCAATCAAGGGATAATGACATTTTTATTACCTAGTCATATCAGTTATCACAAAAGTCCTGTGGATTTACAACACATACTATTCAATGTATCAATGCACACATCTTGCACCAAAAGAGGCTTGTTATCTTGATGTGAAAATATCTACATATTTACACATATCACTGGAAAAAGGGCAGAATCAACTCCCTTACAAAAACTTTTATAACGGCTAATTTTGAAAAAAAAAAATGGTCACACAGTTTTTTAGTGACACTATTTGTTTCACTGAAGACCCATGGTTACCCTGCTACCAGAGAATGTTTCCCTATAAAGTTAAAGCTGAGAATTCGTCAGTACAATTAACACATCAATACCAAGGTCATAATTAACTCGTCAACACATGGTGAGGATTTCGGCAGTACAATTAACACATCAATACCAAGGTCATAATTAACTCGTCAACACATGGTGAGGACTTCGGCAGTGTATCCACAAAACTGGTCATATACCACGTTACATATAACGTGTTATATCCAAACATACCCGGTAACATTTCCAGAAAGAAAACATTGTTTTGAGAAATATTTTTTTAGTTCTTTTGAGATGTTCTTTTGTAATCTTGAGCAAGCTTTTCTGTTGATATTAAAAAACCTGTGTTGACAAGTATTAGGATATTCATTCATGTGTTTATTAAACCGAGAGTCAAACTGAAAGCTTGTTTCTGGGAGTGCTGTATAGAATTGATTTAAGAGTAACCATCCGACTTCACTGGATTTAAACTAGTATGGTAAAACTTTGTTTCCCCTCACAACCATTCTTCAGTTAAATTTTCAGTAAACCTCTTCTATTAATCTTATCGAGTTTCTTACAGAAGCCAAAATATTCAGACTTAATATCCTTACTTGAATGATCTGACACTAAGAGCCAAAATAATTAGGTTGATTTGTTGTAGTTTCTCAACAGACAAGTAATTCATAATTAACCCTTTCAACCCTATTTAACTTTAGTAGACTCCACCGTGCATTGATCTGGATGAGTCCATTATGGTCTACAGTGGTGAAAGGGTTAACACAAGCAGTGTTACATACTTGTTGCATTTATACAGGAAATAAAATAAATTCTAGTGCAAGCGCATACCTAATGTCTTTTTTTTTCTACATCATCTCCTACAGGTTTTTACCATTATGGAAAATCCCCAAGCACATGTCACTTCAGTTTCTTCCGACACATTTGATACCTGTTGGTTGTTGAGGCACATATTCTCATGGCAGAAGTTCCGAACCTCTAGATGGCACCTACAGCCCTGTAATTCATACGGCTGTAATCACACACAAGTCATTCCTGAAACCTCGACGCTTAAAGTTACATGTAGGAGATGGAGAAGTTGGTAAAGATTAAATGAGAGTTTTATATTTTGAAATGTTTTGAGCCTTGCGTCATTCACCTCCTCTTAAAGCGAGAACTAAATGTAGCACTGATCCTCCCGTCACCTTGTAGTCCGCCGCAGTCTTCTCGTCATTCCTAAGTGAGCAAAAAAGAAACATTATGGTGTCAAATAAAGTTGCACTAAATAAGATGGCTCAACTGAAGTTGGTTTAAATCTTACGGTTTTAAAATGTTAACAGGAAAACAATAAATTTCATGGTTTGAATTATCCACTTGAATTGGGAGAAATATTCAAGTTTGGGTTGAATCATCTAGATCTGAACTCTTCTGTTTGAATTAGGAGCTCTGAAGGGTAAGTGAGTTTTGGTTCCATTATTTGTGTTAACTGTTAGAATAGTTTATATAAGTCTTTGTTTGTTTTGCATGAAGAAAAACATCCTTCCGTTTGAAGAAAAGGATGCGATATGAAGGAAATAGGATTCCTTTCAACATCAGATAATTTTCATGCTTTTTCCAAAAAGTTAGTGTAGAGTATATTTTAGTTACGGTATATCAATTAACATGCACAATTACAAAGACATTTGATTGTGATGACTGGGAATGAAGTACAGTAATTTCTTACCGTACTTATTCATAAACTCCTTCTCATGGAATATAAATATATTCAAATTCCAAAATTTGAATACTTTGTGTCAAAAATTTCAAAATCAAAATGTAATTTAATTTCTTTGAACCATATTAATTTATGAGCTGAACGCTTCCTTTTTAATTTTTATATTGATATGTATAATTTATATTAAAGCATGCAGAAATCTGCATCCCTACTTACATCTGTTTGCCGCTGAAGATCAATCTCTGTTGTGGTGGCGGAATGCCTTCCTTTTCTTCTACTCTCTCCTTGATTCGTTCAACCTGTCAAAACGAAACATCACAGTTAGATTTTAAATTTTCTGAAGATTTTTTAAGATATTTTAACAAACACAATTGTCACCACAAATAAGTTTGAAACTTGGTCTGGCATATCAGAACATCAGTCTTCAATGATTAAGTATTGGAATATATGCAAAAAAACTGTCAGTCTTAACAAAATACAAGGTTACAACCAAAATAGTTAAATACATCAATAAGTGTAAGAGATGGCCTTTCAATAACCTTAAGTGTTTTAATATCACTGAATTTCAGAAATCTTGACCATGACCTTGAACAGATGGTCCATATATACCTGATTGCACAAAGATATGTATAATGAAAAAAAAAAAAGCTGTTTGGATTTCCTTTTCTGGCTCCAAAAAGTTGGGTTATAGGTAGCTTTTAGACACAGAATACATTTTGCCTTCAGTAAATCATTCAATCAACAAGATTTGTATATGCTTTTTGTAACTTATAATGGCGACACAACTTATTAACTATACAAAGAGCTACCAAGTTTGTTGTGATTGAACTATCCAGTATTTTAATCCTCAATCATTCGGTATTACCTGATGGTATCCAAACAAGAGATATTCAAATCAACCGATCTTTAAAACGAGCCACAAGCATAAATATTTTCTACCCCTTGACATTATTTATGTTATTTAATTTATTCTGCAGATGAAAACCTCATTTTTCTCACATAAGGATATATCTAATGAAGTGTACTATTTGTTGCAGTCACTTTGATACAAATTTATTAACTGTGCAAATCAATCTATTTAAAATACACTTGTGATTTGAACTTTGACCTCAAATTCTGACTTTAATACACAACAGTTCCTTAAAATGCCTAAAGAAAACTTATCATTACTTGTGACTGATATCACTATAACGTATTAATTATAGCTCATAAAAAATATCTCTATATAATGTACGGTGTGACAACTTCATCACTAGGTAGTACCTAGCGATGAAGTTGTCACAGCCTGCTCTAGACAACCAAATTTAATCCTGACCTCTGACAGCTGACCACAATATTGGACATTGACCTGGAAGTAGCCTTCCTGATGAAACACTAGTTATTTATATGACCTAGAGGATTTATAAAATATTTTTTGGTTTATTTGTGTTTTACGTCCTATTAACAGCTATGGTCATTTAAGAACGCGCCAGGTTTTGGTGGTGGCGGAAAGCTGGAGTTCCCGGAGAAAAACCACTGATCTACGGCCAGTACCTGGCAACTGCCCCACGTAGGCCTCAAACCTGCGACCAAGCGGTGGAGGGCTAGTGGTATCAGAATGTCAGATGCCTTAACCACTTGGCCACTGCCGCCCCGAAAGAAAGATAGCTCCAGATGAGAAACAGTAATAGATAAAACAGACAGAATGACACATGTTCACACCAGGCATTTGAACCCCTAAAGAAAAAACTTCTTCATAAAAGGAAAAAGTCTTGTAAACCAAATTAAGCAGTACTATATTTTACAGACCTATATATATATACCCGGTTTTCATATCAGACAATTAATATAACATGAAGTTTTTAAAGGGACAATTTTGAAGTATGTTTTTTTTTAATCTTGTTACAAAATTCTTCATGATAATATAATTTGAACCTCCTTATGAACAACTCATGTCGAGAAGTTGACAACTGCAATATTTTCCTGGCGTTTTTATTTAGTAATGAAGAAATCCTTAACTGTACAGCTGTACGATTTAGCGGTAGCTGTCAGTAAATTTCTAGCTAACAAAAATGTCTTTCCAGCCGAGGAGAAAAGGTAAATTCTCACTTTATTCACTTAGCCTCTTTGGAATACTTTACTTAGGAGATATATATTTTCAGTATCGACTCGATTTTCAGGTTGTCATTTGACTAAATAGCCCTTTTAACTCACATGTCATTTTAGTTATGATATGTAAGAGACAACTTATGTTGGTATACATGAGCCCTGCCAAAATTGGGGATCTGCTTTTGTGCCTTTTTCTTGTAGACACAAATAAATCTACTGCACCCATTTCAACATTTGGGATTTTTATATTTTCTCTAGAGTTACTCCCTAGCAACCTAAAATCTGTTTCCTAGCGCCTTGCTCGTTAATACCCCACTTTTGGTCTTGCATTGTTGAATATTTGCTCTAATATGAATGTATGGTTGAATACAGTACTATTCTGAAACTGGTTATGGGTGGATTGGTCGAGTGGTTAACACCTCGGCCTGCCATGCAGGCGGCCGTGGTTCGATCCCCCAAGTCGTCGCACACATGGAATATCAGTGTTTTTCTCCTGCCCACACAACTCCAACAACCCAGGTGGAGTATAAAATGGTCTGTGGTGGATGTTGCAGTATCTGGGATGTAGCATTTAAGTGAGGTGGCACTATAAAAGATGCCGTTGGAAGCACAGTCCCACTACATACAGAACACAATACATCTCCAGCACACACACATAGGGAGATATTAGCCAGGTGGCATAGGACTAGTAGTTAGCGCCTGATAAGGCAGCTCCTGCAAAATCCTCAAAAAATTTGTATATACTAATTGTATTAATTGTATATCTATGTACTGTAAGGCGCTTTAGAGTAGCTTATGTTAGCTAGATAGGGCGCTATATCAAATGTTGTATATTATGTTTACGAGAAAATTTGAAATTACCTTGTCTGTTGGCTCTATATCAATTTCAATCTGAAAGAAAACAAAGACATAAATACAATGTGGGCTAGTCATATATCTATTATTATGATTTTGTTAAGAATACAAATGTATTTATAAGCTATTTCGTGACTTAATTCAGACATGTATTTTGCAAGCTGTTTTTTATTTGAAATTATTTTACACATTTTTTTAACGGTCACACTTAAAAGTGTCTTCAAGTGACAAAAAGCGTCGCTGGATATATTTTTTTTAGTTAATATGATGAATTGAATTTTTACGATCGGCAGAATGGCCTGTGTGTATTAACCTGTACAGTAACAAAGCGTCACCAAACAAACACAAGTCAAACAGATGCAGGTTTCATCTTCATCTTTATGCCTTCCTCCGTCGATATCAACGATTACAGAAGTTGATCTTGTGCTGTAGTGTGTTAATTGTTATGTACAGTGATTTGATTTTTTTTATATTTTTTAATTATTTGCTATAGGATAAAAACAGGTTAAAAGCAGCGAGTGGGTGTTAGTTATGTTGTAGGTTTTGTATATGTTCGATTATGTTATATGTGGTGCATGTCCTGAATTCTGCTAGTGTTTCTGATTGGATTATTGTTTTGGGTAGGGGGTTCCACTGTATTATGGTGTACACTGTATTATGGTGTATGGAAAGAATGAGTGTCTGTATGTGTCTTTTGATGTGTAGATATGTCTAAGGTTGTGTCCTTGACGTGTGTATTGCTACTTGTTGGTGTATTATTTTGTAGAGAATAATAATATGTGTTCTTGTTCTGCACGTGTGTAGTGTTGGCCATTGCAAGTTCTGTGTCATATCTGTGACTGAGCTTGTGTTATGATATTTGTTTAAGACATATTGTGCTGCTCTTCGTTGTACTTTTTCTAATTGATTTATGTTATTTGTATAATGTGGGTACCAAACTGAACAGCAGTATTCAAGTTTTGGTCTTACAATGGCCTTGTTCCATTTGATGTTAGAACCTTTATTTGCAGTGAATATTTGTTGACTTGTTTTAACATCATTATCAATATCTCAATGGATTCCATTTATTACTAAGAGATAAAATAGTATCTCAAATTGTGGGAACGTCTTTTAAGGAAAAGTATAAATCCTGAACTTTAAGATGGGTCTCAAAAATGGCTGGCCTTCCATCACATCACAGGGGTTCATAACAAATGACTGAAATACACATATATGCTATACTGATATGGTTCACATGTTTATGTGTGCTGTGACCCATATCAGTATAGCATATGTGTATTTCAGACATTTGTAATGAACCCCTGTGATTACATCAGGGTTCAAGGCTCTCAACTTTGTTGTCAACGTGATAATTCTAAGCTGTTTAATATTGATAGTAATGAGATATTTTGTTGAGTCTACCAACCTTTCTAAAGTTCCTTGCAGCATCACAAGGTCTATCGATGATGGGCAGGATCGTTTGGTAACTTTGGTTTTGTTCTAAGCAATGTCATAGNCCCCCCACACACACACACCCGAACTCAAACAACTAAAAAGATGAAGACAAGAAAAATATTCACTTAAAAATGACTGAATCTGCCATGCTTTAATTCTGTTTCGTCTTTACACTAAATTTTATTTCGTCTTTACACTAAATTTCGCAAAATTTAGATATGACAAAAACAACTCACCTCTTTTCCAGTAAGAGTCTGAAAAATAACACATGAATTAATTATAAAGATGATAGAATTGGACATCATATTCTTTTACAGATATCAAATTATTGATAAATTCTTGAAAAATAAGTACATGATTGATTTGTACTTACCTTTACTTTAATCAACATTTTGACAATATATCTCTGGCCGGTTTCTGTGTTCAGTGTGTTTTAGTTTTGACTTCCGGTTTAGATGTCTGGATGTAAACGCACTTTTGATTGGATACTCAATCACATTCACGAGCTGTAACCGAGTGCACTAAATAATCGGAAGACCGCTCGGGTTTTTCGCCCGTTTTCAATAATGTCGGAAAGGCACAATCGAGTGTGTATAACACTCAATGAAGGAAATAATAATAATATGAAATATGATCTGCCTATATTCGGGAGCAGAATGTTTTTGTTTTTTTTAAAAGTAGTTCAGTTTCAACAAAAATGGTAGGTACCTACTAAAAGGTAAGACCAAAAAAGAATTCAATACAAACTGAATCAGCTCCCTAATAATGGAAGGAAGGTATAGCGTCTCAGTCATTTTCAAAAAGGGAAACCGCAAATCAGTCAGTAATTATATATAGACCTATCAGAGTAACTTGTATATGTCGTAAAGTACTAGAAACAATTGTAAGGGAAACCATAATTAATTATATGCCGTTCAATAAATTATTCTACAGAAGACCGTTTGGATTCATCCCGCAGGGAAGGTCCACCGTTCTAACGTAATTTAAGTGGAGTCAAATTCGTCACATTAGTTAGTACACATGTATCAAAATGCCGATGAACATAGAAGAAGATTTGACTGAAATGCCTATACATAATGTGTGTGTGTAACAACGTTTAACAGTGAAATAAATGGCTTTTCTTAGTTGTGATAGTTAGTTTTCGGTTACTCGAAGAAACTTTTTTAATGCTGTTTGAGTAAGATGGCTGGGACCGGCTGAGATGAGGTCAATTTACATGCATCGCAATAAAGGTCAGTCCTGAACAAATATAAACTTCCAAATCAGTGACCAAAATAATATTTTTCATCGGGTGCGGACGAGAGGGTCCAGCTAGGGCTTTCAATGGCCGTCTTTTGGATAATTTGTCACATACATGTAGCATCTCCGATCGTCTTGCACGTCAACAGGAAACAAATCTGACAAATGCATTTAGACGAATTTTTTTTCGGCTTGGAAACGTATTCAACAGAGACTGCCCCATGTGTTGTGAATGTACTCACTTTTTCATGTAGAAATCAGTCTTTGGTAACTGTCGGTCTGTTGACGTAACCATCAGCCTTTCAGGCCGACAACAAATTCTTTTCGAACATAAAACTAACAAATTTCAAGATGGTTGTAAGATGGCTGAATGTTAGACGCAAACAATATTTTTAAAATATACTGGTTGATTGTTTTCTAAATACATATTGCATGAAAGTAAAAAATGAATTCCAAATCAAGCACTAAGTCGTCAGTATACATGGTAAATACTAAAGTACATTTGTAGAAAAAAACAATTTACTTGCATTGACGACTCAGTCGACCATGAAACTGCAATTAGCAGTGAGAAATGGGTATTTTTAAGTTGTATGTAATGTATTTACACTAAATCACAACCAAAAGGCCTCAGATTATTGAGTTTAGTTGACGAGATGTCCGTTGCACAGACCAAATTTTTAAGATTCGTTGCGTTACAAGATATTTTTTAACTGTTTTGATTAATAATAAAATAACTTTTCCCTTCTTATACCTCTTCTTGTCAAAATGTTTGAAGGCTTTAACTGTGTTGAAGACTATGGTGACGTGTTTTACGTTACATCTTATGTATTATGACGTCATATGGTATTTTCGTCACAGGGTGGCGAAGTTGGGTGCACGGCGAATTTGCCTGCACTAACATTACAATTCAAGGTTAGACACCAACTAATTCTGTTTAGAAGTCCACAGGATTAGTTGAATTTTCGGAAGATTTTGATCTTTATCATGCAATATAACTGTATTTTTAGCAGTTTTCCAAAAGTGATATTCATATTTCATAATCTATCCATCTATCTTTCTATCTATCTATCTATCTATCTATAAGAAGATTTTGCGATTTTTTTTCAATAGCCCAAAGGACCACTTAGGTTAGTTGATTCACTATACAGCTAGTTCTTGCTGAAATTTACCAGTCTCGGACTAGAAGACTATAGTAGTGTTAGTGTCGAACCCTGCAATTAATCCGAGTTATTGATGACTGGATGGAAATTATTGATACATGATCGAGGTTGCATTGATGTACTGTCTTGTGACTTTATGAAGGCATTCGATAAAGACGTGTGCAGCATCGCGGGTTGTTGGTATAAAGAAACAAGTTGACAAATTAAGGAAGGACATACAGAGAAAGAGTGAACACAACATGACCAACAGGAGTGTGGTTCTTATCGGAGAGAATAAGACAGAACCAGCCGTAAAGACTTTTTACAGATTCAGCGTGTTGAGTGAATCCTCGAACAATCAGGTAACTTGGAAAACACATCGACCGCGAATTCTTTCACAGATACGGAATTAGACCCTAAAACCGATCGGAACGCTAGAGGACTCTGCCAAGGAAACGAGACGCGACAAAACTCTTGGAGCGACATGTTATACATTCGGAGTCTCTGAAGGAGAAGCGTTCCGTGGATACTATGAATCCATCTGATGCATCAGCTGTAACGACAACTCAACACCCGACAAAGGTCCATTTCCCAACATCTGTGTGTAATCCGATGGCAAAGCGATTTGTGGGATTCCAGCAGCAACAAAGAAAGAGAATCAAGCGATTCTACGTACATGTAATCAACCGGCAAATATCCTCAGAAGCTGCCATGCGAAGCTATCTTGCGGAAGCTAATGTGCGCGTTACTTTGATAAGGTATTTTGAGAAACGGTGGAAAAACACGGCATCAGCGCAATTGAGCATAGTAGCGGAGGACGCAGATATTATCAGCGATGAGTCGTTCTGGCCCGAAGGAATCCGAATGAGGGAATGGCAGCCACGCGAAATTTTCTTGAGTGAGCACAGATATGGCTGAAATTGTTAATGCGATGTGTTGGAACATTGAAGGCATCATGTCAGGGACACCATATCTAATAGACTGCCTTCAGGAATATAATATTAATGTTTGTGGGATATCTGAGCACTGGTTACGTGAATTTAATATGTCATTTATGGACACATTTAAATCTATTGGGTACGGATGTATAGCCAAACCTGTTTTGAATTAGACCCTTTTAAGTACAAATGTAGCATTAGAGGAGGAGTTGCTCTGCTATATAAAGAATCCTCCTTCAGAGTCCAAGAGATCGAGGTTGACAGCCCGAGAATAGTAGGGGCTGAGATAACTATATCTGATGACTTATTTCTTTATTGCTTTGTTGCATACATGCCTGCTTCTTCAAGAACTATAGAGTTATTCATAGAACACGTTGAGCTTCTAGAAGGTCTGTATTCTGTTTACTCCGAAAAGGTGAAGGTGATGTTCATAGGAGACATGAACGTTAAAATTCGAGGTCCAAGGTGTAGCATTATTGAAAATGAAAGATCGAACATTTTTCAAAAGTTTTTAAACCGATGTAACTTGATATCGGTGAACGTACAGGATAAGTGCCTTGGACATCATAGTACTTTTTCCCCTCAGACTGGCAAATCAACACTTATTGACCACATAATTATCGAATCAAGTATGTTTGATTTAGTAGAAAGTGTGTCTATTTTGAAAGAAAATGATTTGAATTTGTCAGAACATGTCCCAGAGATAAGTTCAATACTGATATCAGCCAATGTAACATTTAATTATAAACGTACTGATAAACATGCACGGTTTAATTGGAAGAAAGCAGACCCTACTTTTTACAGAGCAGCTAAATATAAGAATTTGGCTCACATCAATGTTACAGAAACTGAGAATAGTGAACAGGAATTGAGTCTAAGCAAGGAATACATAGAAAAAATATTATTGTGAAATTTTCTCTGCAATATTTAATGCTTCTTTAGAATCTATACTTACTGTAAGGTACAATCATTACTTAAAACCATATTTGAATGGCCAGTTATCTGTTTTTCATTGTCATATGAGATTAAGCAGACAAAAATGGGTCGGTAAAGGTAAACCAAGAGGTGGGAACTCGGAAAGTTTTAAAGAGTACAAATTGATGAAGAAAGAATTCAAGAGAAATCTTAAACAAGCATTTGATATATATGTCTGACCATTTATCAGAGATTGGTCAATCAAACGAAATAGACCAAAAACTGTTTTGGTAACTATTTAGAAACAAATCCATGAAACGGCGACGTTCTCAAACATAATTTACATGTGACGGTAAAACGTTCATTGACCCAAAAGATATCGTAAACAAATGGGCATCTCACTTCGAAAACATATTCAAGAACGACTGCAATTGTTTATTTGATGAAGATTTCAAACATGACGTTTCGAGTAAAGTACGAGATACAGATGCCCAAATCTGCAAAGATGACACATTTTTGAAGGAACCTATTACTGTATCTGAAATCGAAAATATATGTAAAAAGTTGAAAACAAATAAGGCAGAAGGTGTAGACAATCTTGTTTATGAACATTTAAAATTTGGAAACTCGTTGCTGTATGACCACCTATCAAAATTATTTAATGCCGTAATTAAGTATCAATATATACCAAAAGAGTGGAAAATGGGAACAATAATTACTTTGCACAAAGAAAACGCAAAAATCTAAAGATGACCCTAATAGTTATAGGGGAATTACTCTGTTACCAGTCATTTTTAAAGTTTTTGAAATGATTTTAGCTTAAAGATTATAATCGGTACTTAATTGTAACAACTTTCCGAATAGGCAACAATCAACATATCAAAAAGGACTATGCAGTTTGTTAACTGCATTTAATCTGCAAGAATGTATACATTATAATTGAGAAAGAGAAGAAGATGTTTATGTAGCCTTTTTAGATAGTGACAAGACATTTGATACCGTATGGCATGATGGTTTGTTGTATAAGCTAAATGAGATCGGTATCACTTCAAAGACATGGCATATTTCGAAAGCAATATACACAGATATAAGAATTAGTGTTGTATTTAATTGTTTAAATTCAAGATGGATCCGTATGGAGAGGGGGATTTTACAGGGGAGTGCGTTGTCTGCCAAGATTTATCTTGTATTCATAAACAGTTTATTAGACAGTATAGAAAAATGTGGAAAG